CTGGATTCAGGAGGACCTGAGTTCAAATCTGACCTCAGACACTTAACACTTACTAGCTGTGTGACCCTGGGCAAGTCACTTAACCCCACTGCCTACCTCCCCCCCAAAAAATGATGAGCAAGATATTCTCTGAAAAACCTGGAAAGACTTACATGGACTGATGCTAAATGAAATGAGCAGAACCAGGAGAACAATGCACACAGTAACAACAACATTGTTACATGATCAACTGTGAATGGCTAAGCTACTCTCAGTAATACAGTGATCCAAGACAATTCTGAAGGACTCATGAAAAATCCTAAGCAAATCCAGAAAATGAGTCTGAATGCAGATCAAAGCATACTTTTCCTTTACTTTCTTTCTTTGTTTTGGGTTTCTTGTCTTTTTTTTCCCCCCACAACATGACTAACATGGAAATATGTCTGGCCTGACTGCACATGTATCACCTCTATCAAATGGCTTGCCTTCTCAATGAAGGGGAGAAGGAAGGGGGGAGGGAGAGAATCTGGAACTCAAAAATTTTAAAAAATGAATGTTAAAAATTGTTTTTAGGGGCAGCTAGGTGGCACAGTGGATACAACACCAGCCCTGAAGTCAGGAGGACCTGAGTTCAAATCCAGCCTCAGACCAAATACTTGACACTTACTAGCTCCAACTGCCTAAAAAAACAAAAACAAAAAACAAAAATTGTTTTTTACATGTAATCGGGGAAAAAATAAAATAGTAAATAAAAACAAAAAACATGAGAAGTGCCTGCTGAACAGCCCTCATGGGAACCACAGAGAAGGCTAGCAGATACCAGTAAGGGAAAGGACGGGGAGGGGAGTCTGCAAGCAAGGGGCCCAAGCTGGAATCCTGGCTCTACCACTTACGAGACAGATGACTTCAGACAAGTCACTTCACCTCTTGGGGATTCAGTCTCCTTCCCTATAAAAACGAAGGAGTAGAACTGATGACTTCTGCGGTCTCTCTCGAGATTTAAATCTAAATCCTAGGATCTCAGAATCAGCGATAGAGAGTCAAACTGAGCACAGTCTGGCATGCACACTATATTGGCCAGGAGGGATGCAAAGTCCCAAAGCAGGGCATCTTAATCCTTTTTTGTGTCCTGGACCTGCTGGATATTCTGGAGAAGCCCATGAACCCCTTCTCCGAATCATGTTTTTAAATGCATAAAATAAATAGGATTACAAAGGAAAATTTTATTACATTACATAATCAAGCGTACCAGAATACTGAAACAAGTTCACGAACTCTAGGTTAAGAATTCCTGTTCTAAAGGATGAAAATTCCGAGGCCAAAAACAGAAACATTCTATTAAGGAAGAAAAGGGAGAACTGTCTAGAGAGACTGATGCGGATACGCTCACGGCAATGGTGGAAGCGAGGGCGTGCAACTGAGCACAAACTCAGGGGCAAGGCCGAGCCAGGCAACGAATGCCAAGGGCTACATAAGGGGCTCTTTCGGCCACGACACCGGCCAGGGAAGGCTCAGGATACTGCTCAGCACAGACGAACACAGGAGAGATGACGGGAGCAGCACTCAACTCTGATTTCTGCTTCCCTGTTCTCTGTAAGGAGAATGACTACACTGGCAAGGACAGAAGAAAGGGCCCACAGCTACGCAGAAGCTGCCTGGGGCCAGCCAGCCACTCAGCTCCCAAGCAGCAGAGCCTGCCCAAGCCTTCACACTATGAGCTCTCAACTTGCTCCACTGGGGCTGGGATTCTTAACCATTCTGGATAAATACATTTCAATATCACTGAAATTCTGTGTCTTTTATCCGTTCAAAAACATGTTCTGGGAAGGGTCACACACAGGCCTCCCCAGAAGGCCCGAGGGGTCTGGGACACAAAGTAGGGCAAGGCATCTCTGTGCTCCCACTCCAGTGTCTTTATTGTGGCCGGCCTCTAGAAGGCCAGCCTGGGAGCAGCGGGCTGAGGGGCAGGTCTGGCTTCGATGACAGCAAGAATGTAATGGCCAGAGCTGGCCAAACACTGATGTGGCTGCCTCTGCGGGCAGTCCATTCCCCCTCAGCAAAGGTATTGGAGCAGAAGCTCAATGACTCCTTGTAGTAGGGGATGGAGGAGAGGAGATTCCTGTAGACACACACTAGCCTGCCTTTGAGGTGCCATGATCAGAACGTCCCAGGCACTAGAATTCTCTCTGGAGTGCAGTCCTGCTGAAGGGAGCAGGAGGCAGTGGCCTGAGCTCTATGGGATCCTCGATCAGAACGGTCTTTCAGGGACTTATGATTGCGTCAATGGGACTGCAGATCACGACTCCTCAGGAACTGTCGTGACTGAAAATATTCATCCTTCCTTAGCTACCCTTTCGGTAATGATCTGACCTGACTTTATCCTCACTGGTCTTTAGAAAAAAGACAGCAGCCCGCCCTGGCCTCACCCTCCAGGTTCTGGAGCTGAGCCCAGCCTGCCGGAGTTGGGGCCCCACTGGCCTGGCCTCTGGGAGGGCAGGGGATGCCTCAGTGGGCCTGTGATCTCTCCAATGAAGGGTGAGCGCAGGCCCCTTCCATCCACACCTGACTGGCCAGCATCCCTCTTGTCCATCTCCTCCCTTAAACCTTCGCCAGGAAGCTCAGCCCGTTCTTCCCCTCTCCTGATTATCTGGTGCAGTTATTATCCTATTATTATCCTTGCCCACCTTTTCTGGCTACTCGTCTCTTTGGCAGTATCTTTTACGCCACTTTTTACATGTTAATTTGTCTTAGGTAATAGGATGCTATCGACGTACTATCTCTCTCTCCACTGGCCTCCGCCAAAGAACACGGGTGTTAAAAAGATGCACCTTTTGTTTCAGGAGCAGTTTGGGGTCGTGAAAAGCAGTGTGGAGGGCTGCCACGGTTTCTGTCTCTTCCTTTCACTCTCGTTCTAGTGCGCTGTCTTTCTCTCAACGTCTGTCCAAGCCACAGTTATTGGTGGACTGCTCTGTTGGCTGGGCATTCAACTGTCCATTTCTGCACAAAAGGCATCCTGAGAGAAGGCGGAATTCTTGTGACTGATGATGAATCTGTCAAGTTCCAGGTCCTGCCACAGGATTCCTCTTCCATTTGGACTCCTACATGACATGGGCAAACACTCCCGTCTCCTTATTTCATTCCCCACTTGATGCTAACGAGGGGTTTAGCAGCGCTCTCTCGTTTGGTCTTTTAGTAAATCTCTTATGACTTTAATAAGTGCATAGCTGCATCTTTCATGAGGAGACAGATGCTTTTCTATCAATGAACAGAGCACAGTGGGATCTTTTATTCTCTGCACATTTTAAGAATTCTGTGACCTTAAGGTGTGATCTGTTATATGGTATTATTTTACCTAACTTATATCTTCAAAAAATATGCGCTGGATTCATGGGTAAAGAGATGGGAAGTAGTTCTACAGGTTAGTAATTATTGGTATTCATCTCCTAGCACACTAGCTAATTTAATTTTGGTTATTTATATATATATATATGTTTCTTAGATCTATCAATTTAGGGTAGTTGAGGCAAATCCAGATTTTTGGCACTGACCCTATCTACTACCAAACACAGACCTTCAGCCAACAAAAGCAAGTCCATGAAAGTACTAACTGAAAACCAAAAATCAAGGAAGAACTACCTTCCTATTTTCTGGAAAACAGATAACACAGTAAGGTAAACTATGCATCTCTCAGGAGAGAAAGGTGCACCTATGTCACGGCATCCCGTGTCAGGGGCAGTCACAGTGCTGGCTTTTTGGACTAACTAAGAGGGCTCCACAGGGGAAGTTGTTACAGAGACACGAGGCATTTTTACTTTAAAAAAAGAAAAGAAAAATCAATCATTAACTACTCTTTGCAAGTCTCTTTAGTTAAGACTCACAGCATATGCTACTTCCGTAAGCTTGGAAAGACCAAAGATTCTCTGATCTGCACAACCAGCAAAACTGGGCAACAGCCAATGGAACAGACTTGGGAGCAATGCAAACCGAACACAGCAGCATCTCGTGTACCTCTGTCACCCTCAGGGACCCCCCCCCCACATTTAAAACCTGGATCTCACACATGCTGCCTTCTCAGAACGTGGCCTGGCCTCTGCCTGAGGACCTGATGTCATCTCAGCCACCAGCCCACCTTCCTACGCCCGTTTCCTCATCCAGAATAAGGCCCCAGCTCTACCATCCTATCACCCCATGGTCAATCACACAGCAGTGTCCTCAGGGGTCACACTCCTGGCTCCCACACTAAGCACCCCTCCCCACCCTCCAAGGCCTTTGTGCTGCTGCCTTTTTAGTTTTCTGGGATTTGTCTTCTGATGCCAGTCATTACTTCCTTCCACTCTCTGGTTTATCTTGAGCAATGCCATCTCCCCCACGTCTCGCTCCTTTGAGCTACCCTAGGCTGAGTACTGGAAGCGTCGAGTCTGTCCACACTGACTTAAAACAAGAGGACAGAGACTTTTTCATGAGTCTGAAGGGAAGGCTTGTGTGAAATCTCTTTTGGATCCCGACTCTAATCTTTTTCTGCTATTCTCAAGTTTTCAGCTGAATTCTGTATAGAGACTGGTGGATAAGTGACATTCAGATAGTTGAGGTGTTGGGGAAATTACGCTTTCCAAGGAGTTTGGAAGTTTCTAATGAAGAAAATCAAGATCTAGCAACCACTCAAGAAATGGGCATATTGTCCTGAAAGCCACATGTCTCATGCAAAAAATCATGTAGGCCAAAAATGCTTGGCCTTAATAATGTGTGATTATTTATAACTGCCCTGGAAAGGCTAACTTTAAACTCACTAGGAATGCCTCCAGGATAAGATGGGAGGGCCATGTCCCTGCTATTCTTTCATCCCCTCATAGTCTTACTGGAGAATTACAGAGGAAATCAAGGCTGCGCCTCAGCTTGGCCCACGAGGAAATCAGAAATGCAGGGTGTCACAGCAACTGACTTCAGCCTCTCCAGGGCCAAAAGCTCTGCATAACACGATTCACCTAGAATTTCCATGGGGAATACTTAGTATGGATGTTTACCGTAGCTGTAACTTTGTCCCAGTCTGTTACAAAGGCCCGAAATCCTTCACCAAACAGAGTACCAGCTGTCCTGTGGAGGGGAAAAGCAGTAACATGACCAGGAGGAAAACAGGTGTATGGAGAGCGTGTTTGGAGAAAAAGGGGTCAAGAGGATGAGCAAAGCTTGAAGTACTTGCAAGATTCTTCTCAATCCTCAAGGACCATCCTGTCAATCAAAGGAACCACCAAGCAATCCACAGATTCTCAAGGCAAGGCAGAAGACAATGAGTTATTATTACCACACCGAGGTGAAGAGCCTACCACAACCAGCACCTGAAGACTGCAAACACACAACTAAATGATCACAGAACTAAAAACGAACAGTAATGCAAAGTCAGAAATGGCACGCTAATTTCCCAAGGGAATTTACTTTTGGGAAGAGAAGTGAATTTAAGCATTTTAAAATAAAGCCTGGTTTCTTTGCCTTTGTCCTGGGACAGACAGGCCCTCCCTCCTTCTGAGGGCAGCCCAAGGTGGGAGCATGGTGCAGAGCACTGTGGGCCCATCCTCGCTTCACACGTACTTGAGGGATTCCAGAATGGTCTGGCGGTGCTCGGCGGCTTTTAAGCGGATCTGCTCCCTGATGATGTCTGCGTTCTCTCTCTCCGCTCTGGCTCGAGCACGGGTCTCTGCTTCTATCCGCAGCATCTCATTTTTATGCCGCAGCTCCATTTCCCGTTCCACAGTGGCTTTTGAATGGAAAAAAAAAAAGGCAAAACAAGTGACATTTCCTCCCAGATTTATACTTCTGTCATGAATAGAGTTGAGAATGGTATTGAGGTTAAAAAGTCAAATTAAAGGAAAACAGAAATAAGTCCCTTTCAGATCTATAGTTGCGGGCAGGATTTTTAATCAAAGGAGATGGAGGTAATCATAAAAATGGAAGAAAAAGAAAAATTCAATTAATCTATGTTTTCATACCATCAAAATCAATGCAGACAGAAAAAAATAATAAAGCTGTCATTGTTCCTAAAAAATCAGTTATTTAAGATACACACATATACCATAGACAGAGAAATAAGGAGTGTCCCAAAAATCTTAGCGTAGTTGGACTTTCATAACTTCTATAGTATACATGTTATAAACTTACAGAAAGTGACGCTATAAATGTAACTAAAATTTTAAAAATATTAATGTTCCTTATTAAAATTCAACATAACTACCACCTCATGCTATATATAATAACTCCAGTTGATTTTCAGACTTTGTGAAAACTTTCCTTGCCTGCATCTCAGGGTTGTTCAAAGAGTTGTTTGCCATGCCAGCCTTAAGATCGTAGAGAGAACAAAGTTTCCATGTACAAGTGACAGTTCTGATGGGACTCCACAAGAACAGGACTAATGAAGACAGATCAGGGGCCCGAGGGGACCACGCCAGATGACCTCCTCTACTGATCCACCTGTCTGAGAAACTGCCGCACTCACAATACAGGATGACAAGGTGCCCTGTCTTGTTAAAATTAAAATGCAGTAGTAAAAGTTCTCAAAACTAAAATACTAATTATTGTACTAAGGATAACAAATCAAACTTTCAAATGATTTTTTTTTGCAAGTTTGTAGCATATATACTTTTAAAATTATTAAGTTTAAAACTACATCAGATTTTTGGGACCCCTCAGTATCAAACAAAGTCATTCTCCAAAAAATGTCAAAGAACCAACCACCAAAGAAAAAAGTTCTGAATCACTAAGAGGACAAATGCTGGGGGAGCAGTGCAGAGAGGAGCCAAGAGAAATGCAGGGGAACAGTACTCGGAGGTCTCACCTCCCAAAGCTGATCAGAGATGGCAACAGCCAGCCCGAGTGGCCGGGAGATAACAAGCAGGCCAACATGCTGTTGGGGAGGCCCCACACTGGGCCAGCCACTGTGGAGGCCTGCAGCATTCACACCTTCTCACCCTGATCTGGAGATGAGGAACCTACCCAAAGAACTCAACCAGGAAGAAGGGTCCCCCATGTGGGCAGATATTCATGGTGGCACTCTCGGTGGGGGCACAAAATTAGAAGCAAAGTGGATGGCCACTGACCACGAACACACCCACAACGATGGCGAGACGAGAAAGCCACGGCGCTATCTCTTCCTTTCCCAGGCCCCTCGATGATGCTGTCTATTACAACACAAGGTGCAAACACGACTGCCCAGAACTACTCGGTGGAAGGCCATCAAAGCAACAGGAAGGAAGAGAAGCCAAAAAGCGGCAGGCTCTCTCAAGCCCTGCCGCCCAGGCAGCCTCAGTGGTGGGGGCCAGGTCTGCCTTCCAGGGTTGAGACAGGATTCCAGATGCAGAGCTGGAAAGAAGCCTGGAGATCGTGGAGAACAACCCTTCTGCTTTACAGGAGAGGAAACGGAAGCGGAGGGAGGCAAGCTGACTCTCTAGAGCATCCAGCTCCTCAGTGGCAGGGCCACCCCTGAACCTGGGCTGCCAGCCCAGGCAATGGGAGGAGCTGTACTGCATCTCATGGGCTTGCGCCTGAGGCTGAGAACATCTCTGCGATTCCCACACTTCAACTGGTCAGGGGGATATTTTCAAGTGACTTCACTTATGTTATTTTTACAATGTTCTGTTTAATCATGAAATCGACCCTGCGTGAACACTTCACTATATAAGGAACATAAGCCCTATGTAATCGTGAATTCCTCGAGAGGCTCATGTTTAAAAAGCAGCCACTGAATCCATCACCACAGAAGTAACAACGCTGCTGCTCCTCCGGCCCCTTCTGAGCTTTGGGGTCTCCCCGGGTGCATCTTTAAAGCATTTTCTCGACACTCTTCTGCATCCCGATCAGTGCCCACTGAGTCCTCCATCCAGTAAGTCCTCCCTTGTAACACATAAACTAGCAGAGCTGAGCCAAACCAACCCCCACTCCTCTTTCCTGGGAATCCAGGCCCTCTTCAAAGGCTCCCCACTGCGCCCACACTCTGGCTCCCAGGCGTGCGTGTGCCCGGCTTCTGCCCGGGGCCCACTTGGCCGCTCCTGACCCAAGGCAGACCTTACCTCTCCTGATTGCCTCCTGCTTCTGCACGGACTCCTCCTGCTTCCTCAAGTTTTCTTCATTGAGAAGTTGCTGGGGGAAAAACACACACAAGGCAGAGAAAGTGAAGTTTTTAAAGTGACCATTCTGGAGAGGGGTCTCTGGTCACAGACCACTGACCACGTGGATTTTAAATCCTCATCAGGGATGAGGTGAAAAATAAAATGAAAGCCAGGCAGGACCATGCTGCAAATGCTGTGGCAGTAGGGTGGGGGACGCTAGCCTAGCCCCTTGTGCGGCTGGTGTCCCCCAGCTCAGAAGCCGCTGCAGAAAGAAGCTCCCACTTGTAATTCCTAGGGGCTTTTCTGCTTTCCAGGAAGGCAAGTCCACCCTAAGGTCAAACACCTTCTCTGGTTACACTATCAAGGGCCAGCTGGCTCAGAGCTTCCTTCTATCTGCATTTAGCAAGCCATGGGAAACCCACGAGCAAGGATTCACACACCAAATCTACTTCAGTAACAGAGTATTAACTCTGGTGCTGAGAAGCTGCATCCCTGGCTGTTCCCCACTTGGCAAGTGCTGTTGGGAAGGCTGTACTAAGAGTCACTGGGAGCATGGCCTCATGCCTTCATTTGGTGTACCCCACGCCCTCCTCCCCCATGCCCTTCGACAGAATCAGTGAGTCTGGAACAGAATACCAGCTCACAATGAAGTTCACAAACATGAACGCACTCTTGGGAAGGCCTTTTTCCAAAACAGGGTGATTTCAGAACTGATGCTACTTTCCTAAACATTCAACTTCTTGAATTGTTCTCCCTAAAATTAAAATTGAAGAACAATGCACAAGAAAGATAAATTTTCAAAGGTCACCTGCAGAATTGGGAAAGGAAGAGGAGGTGAGATCATGAGCTCCAAGAGGTGACAGCACAGGCCCCTCACCCCCAAAAGGGCACCTTCTCCTCCGCTTGAACTTTCCTGTAATGCCCTAGGATGGCAGGATGCCCCAGTCACCCATCCGTCTTGCCCCCCACCCTCCCACCAAGGCCCAGGCACCTCCAGAGGCGGATGGTGAGGGGCACACAGTCAGGCAGCAAGGGCGCACTCCCACTGGTTAAAGCCCAGCTACTCTGCAGCAAAACTGGAACACTGCTGCTAACTAAACACTTCTAACTCTTTCTTTGGTGATCAACTGTTTATCCTATTTAGGCCCAGGTTGAGCTATCACCTCCCCCCAACGCATCTTGAACCCTGGTCACAGTCAGTTCTCAAAGCCAGCGTCAATACTGACAGGCAAACAACTGATTCTGACAGCCCTGAATTTCCAAGGCCTCCAGGCCAGGGCTGACCCAAACAGCTGGTCTGAGGCAGAGAATCTGGATACCACTCAGCCTCACAGTGAACAGATTCCAGGCAGCAGGAGGGGATCAGGAGCACAGGCCTACTCAAAGCAATCCTCAGGCCCCTAACAGACACCACATACTCCAAAATACTCAGAGCAGCACTTTTTTGATAGCTAAGAATTGGAAAAGAAGTGGGTGCCCATCAACTGGGGAATGGCTCAATAAGTTGTCATATTTGAATGTAAGAGAATACTCATGTGCTCTGTGATGAATACAGGGAAATGTGGAAAGGTCTATGAACTGATGACGACACACACAGTAACTACAATGATGTCTACAGACAGGACAACGAGGCACCGAAAAGCCAAAAGCATATTTAACAAAATCATCAAGATCGAGCAGGACTCATTTGTCCCATGAGAAGACACCCTCACCTACCCTCCTTCCTGGAGGTGGGAGCTCCACAGGCGCTCTGCAAGGCACATGTTCTTGGACGTTTTAACATATTAGCTGTGCTGGGGGGTTTTGTCTCTTAAAAAAAGCTATCTGTCATATGGGATAGCTCTTGGGGAAGGGAAGGGGAGGGATACACTGGACACTATGGTGATGTAAGAACGAGAAAATGTCCATAAAAAAGAAAAAAAAACAAACTCAGTCCAACAACAACAAAAATCGCTGATTCTCTGCTCTAAGGTTCAGAAGTAAAGAAGTAACAGACATCTCCCTGGTGCTGGAGAGGGACGACTGGCGGGGCGGGTGCCGGACAGAAGGTGGCTAAGTCTGCCTTGCTTTTGACGCTGCTCACCTGCTGGCGGAGCTGGTCATCATAGCGCTGCCGGGCCAACTTGTCCTGATACTGAGCTCGCTGTAAAAAAAAAAACAAAAAACAAAAAAAACGCAGGAGATCAGAACGAGGGCCCAAGCTGAGGACTGGAGGCCTCAGGGCACGGCCCCACATTTATCACAAGCGTCGTCACAAGCCCACAGTTCTTAGGGAGAACATTTCTGCAACTGTACAACCACTGTTAGTGTTACCTCTACAAGTAATACTCTGTAACAAGGGGCAAGTCCCTACTTCTGAGGTCAGCACTCGAGTAAAGCTTAAAGACTTTAAATTATAAATGGGCTGGGATCTAGCTCCAGAGAAGGAATTCCCAAAACCACAAAATGAAAGCGCAGGCACCTTGATGCACTGATTTAAATAATGAATTAAAAAGAAATTCACAGAGGACCTACAATTCCATCAATCAATAAGCATTTATTAAATACCTCCTATATGCCAGGCACACCAGTGCTGAAGGTACAAAGACAAAAAAGAAATCTCCCAAGCCTCAAAGACCTTATGTCCTATCACAGGAAAAGTATACATAAAGAATACACAAAACAAATGTAATGGGTTTGGGGGTGGGGGGAGAGAACAGAGAGCTACAGGCTGGAGCAATCAAAAAGGTCTCAGTGACTCTGAGAAGAGGGGAGCACTGGCATTCCTGGCCTGGGGGAGTCTGTGCAAAGAAAAACCGGGAGACAGGAGATGGGTCACCCTGACGAGGAAAGGCTGGGCCAATCTGATATGGACAGCAGGAGCAGTAATGAGCAACGAGGCTGGAAAGGCCAAAGGAAGGAGTTTATCTCATGTCCCAGAGATAAATGGAGTTGGAGCAGGGCTGGTGATGTGGTCAGACCTGGGATCAGGGGAGAGATCAGAGGCATGGAGACCCCAGAGGGACAGAGCACTGACTGCTGGAGCCCGTCCTATCTGCTGACATCCAGGAAAGAGAGGACTGGAGAATTATCTGCACTGGATCACTAGACCACAGACACAGATGAAGGGACCCAAGAGACAAACAGGAAGAAAACAATCACCAGGGTCAGACACAGCAGAGAAGTCAAGAAGGGGCACTGGGAAAATATCATCAGATTTGGCAGCAAAGTCCTTGAGTGGAGGAAGCAGCACAGTGCAGTGGTTACGGGAAGACCTCCAGCCAAGTACCAGTTCTGACACTGTCTGGGAAAGGCGGGCCAAGTCCCTCTACCTCGCGGCCCCTTCCCCATTGCCTCCATCTCCCGGCCCCTCCCCCATTGCCTCCATCTCCCAGCCCCGCATCTACACTGGTGAGGAAGTAGCCTTATATCCTTAACCAATGAAATCATAACTCCAGGTCAAAAACAAACAAGAGATAATTGGTAATTTTGAAAAGAGCAGTCTGCAGAGAGACAAGGTGGGAAGCCAAACTACAAAGGACAGAAGAGAGGAGAGGAAGTTGAGGCAGGGAGCACAGACAGCTTTTCTTTAAGGAGACTGGCTGTGAAAAGGAAGACATCCAAAGGCCAAGGGCTTTCGAGGACGGGAGGGTCTGGGGAGGACTGGGGGTTAGCCTGGTAGAGATGACCAGAGGAGAAGGGACCAAGGACATGTGAAGCGGCCAGGCTCTGCTAGGAGGAAGGCCACCTCTTCATCAGACTGAAGAAGAGGAAGGGACAAGGGCTTTGGCAAAGGGACCATCAGGTACAGAGAAGGGGAGGAGATAAGAGTGTCAGGCGAACCAAACAGGTTCTATGTTCTCAGTAAAGGGCAGGCCAAGAGCTCCATGAAGAGTGTGGGGGAAGGCGCTGTGGGAGCCTGGAAGAAACAGCCACCACGGGAGGGGGCAGAGTCGCTATCACAGATGCTGCACGACAGACACAGCAGAGCCTGTGGTATGGTGTTCCTGGTTCCGCTTGTGAAGGAGAAGGAAGAGGAAGAGGTAGATGGTGCCAAGACTGCATGTCAGGCATGGAATTCGAAACTGAGCCAGCCAACTCTGTGGTGGGGATTGGGAAGGGAAGGAATCTAGTTAGGACAGGGAGAACTGTCTAGCAGGGTCAGAGGATGGAAGGGGCTGATGAAGTCAGGACGGGTGAGTCCCACAGGGAGACAGAATGACAGAGGAGCTTTGTGCTCTGGTAAAATAATTTCAGCATTTTTGATTATGGAAGTGGAGCCCTCCAGAAATACCAGGGACAGTGATCCTTAACATGAATCAATCAAACCTCCCGCATTTCAAGTTTTAGGTGTAGAGACCTGCAATGAGCATTATCTTTTTAAGAGCCTTCACACCCATACAACTTCCTCTGCCAGCACCCAACCCTGCTGGCTCCTCCCCAACAAGGGGGTGCCGGCCGCCAAGGCTCCTTACTGCCTGATGCTGCCTCGTTTCTTCATTTAGCGTCTTCCTTCTCTCCTCCGCTTGTACCCGAATCTGCTCGTTCTTCAGCTGCTCCACGGCAGCTTCGTACTCCTTTGAGAAGAAGGATAACATAGTCAGGAAGTGGACACGTCAGCAGCCAGTGCTGCGGGGAAAACCGAGCTCCGAGTTCTTTCTAGGAGTCATCCCTTTGGGTCCAGCTCCCGCTGGCACAGCTGCCCATGCCCAAAAAGAGCCCTGAGGACCCAAGTGAATGCACAGGCCCCCAAGAGAGCATTCTGCTGCTCCTGAGTAAGCCTACCGATGTCCAGACACAGACACACGCACCCCAGTAAAGACAGACATAAAAAGACACAGGAGGAGAAACAGATATTCCGAGAAGCCCTGAAACACACTACAAAAAAGGACACTTGTTTTGGAGTGCTGCTATACCGTTTGGGGAACTGAACATTGTCAGATGAACATCCGAGGCTGTACTGGGCTAGGGGCTGCCTGGCCTTGGACACAGAGCCTTAGCCTCATTACTGTGTGCATCTACACCTGGCCAAGTCAAGTCAAGGAATCAAGACACCAAAATTGGCCAACTGCGGTCCATTTAAACCTTTTTCTTTTCTCCTTTAACCATGGGCTAAAATGCAACAGTAAACTTGGGAATCAGAATGTCTGATGAAACGTTCAACAAGAGTCAGACAACTTACTTTAACCTTCGACTGCTGCTCCAGCTGCAAAGTCTGTTCCTGCATCTGTGCAAGACTGAGCGCTTCTTTGGCGTGGCCTACGGGGCAATGGAGAGCAGTGCTTAAAGAGAATTTGTGTCATTGAAGAATCTCAGCCCACTGTAAGAGTCCCCCATGTCTGGCACGCCCTACCGCTGACATACCACACGTATGCCCCGTCTCTCTCCAGACCTTTGTTCATACTGTTTCTTCCTCCTACAGTCAGTCCTCGGCCCTTCTTTCTGCCCATCCTCGTCTTATTCAACTTCCACCTCCATCCAAGCCTTCTCCCCAGAGGACAGGTAATTCCTGCGTGAACTCATTTTCCATCTCCCAGAACACATGAGCAGTTAATAAATGACTACTGAACTGTGGTTCCCTTCAGGAATATAAGGATCCAGCACTTAGATTCTAAGTTTATAATGTCTAACCACATAAAAAATGTCTGACGGCTAACCAATAAGCATTTACTAAGCACCTACTACGTGCTAGTCACTGGGGACAGCAAGACAAAAATGGAACGGCCTTGACGGAGCTGGCATTATAATGAGAGTTTACACACTGAAAACAAAAGACATTCCAGGCAGTTTTGGAAGGGAGGGCAGGAGCAGATGGGGTGCTCAGGAACGGCTTCATGTAGAGGTAGGAGGTAAGCTTGACCTGAGTCCTGAAGGCTACAAGGCACTTGTAGGAGAAGGAGTTAATGGAAGGCACTGGGGATGGCCAATGTAAAGGCTGGAGGGGGCCTGTAGTTTGGCTGAGCTGCAGAATAATGCACGGAGCCCTGGCCTAGGGGCTGGGGACACAACACCAAAAAACAGGCCTGCCCTCAAGGAAGCAAAGGAGAACCAAGCAGAATTTTCTTCAGTGAATTAAAAACTTAAAATAAGACACTAAGTTAAGAACTCTCAAGACTGAGTTCTTATCCTCTGCATGAGGCAGGATTATTTCACCAGAAATTCTGGTCAACCAGTCACCCAAATATAAAGAGATCTTATAACAAGTAGCTGCAGAAAAGAGCTTCAGAGTAATAATAACTGACATTTATATATAGCTTTGAAGTTCGCCAAATACTTTACAAACGTTATCTCCTAACAAACCCCTAGAAACAGCACTCTGGATAAAAACATGCCCTAGCAAGAGAGGGAGCTGGAGCCAAGGCTGCTTAGGACAACAAATCCTGCCTGAGGGAGTCGCTGAAGCTAAAGGCAGAAAGGCTCCAGAGATGGGCCTTCCCAAGTAAAGGAAGCCTTCTCTGAGGAGGAGCGCATCACATATGAATGGCCATCAGTCACAGATGGAAGGTCTAGTCATTATCCAAGATGATGCTTCACAGCCATCTCTGCTGGCCCAGCCACAGAGGTAACAGGAAGGCACACTGGCCTCCATGGGACTGTAGAAGAATAAAACTTTCTCCAAAGCACAAATCATTGAAGAGATTGGGTAACACTGCCCTTGACAGCAGCATCCCTATCTGCTCAAGTCTAATCAAAACTAACCAAAGCGAAAGAATAAAATTCAAAATCTAGAAGAAAAAAGTGGGAGGAGGTATACAAAAGAGAGATGGAATGTAGCTCTACCCTGGTTTGAAAACCAGCTAATCATGGCTGGCTCAGCTGGTTAGTGCAGGAGTCGTGGGTTCACTCTGTATGATCACTGATTCGTAGAGTCCCAGGGAGATCTGGGGGAATGCTACAAAGAAACAGGGCCAACATTGGGGGGGGGGAAAATCAATGGCCAATGTTGCTGTTTCAGTCGTGTTCAACTCTCCGTGACCTCATTTGGGGTTTTCTTGGCAAAGATACTGGAGCGGTTTGCCATTTCCTTCTCCAGCTCATTCTACAGATGAGGAAACTGAGGCCAACAGGGAAGTGACTTGCCCAGGGTCACACAGTAAGTATTAAAGGCTGTATTTGAAGTTAGAAAGATGAGTCTTCCTGACTCCAGGCCCAGAGCTCTATCCACTGTGCCACCTAGCTGCCCAACAGTCTTCTTCACATAAGGACAGTGCAATATTATAATGTAAATTCTATCCCCATCAAATATGACAAATGACAAAAGAGAAAACCAGACAGAGGGCTGGCTCCAAAAGCAGAGAGCAGGTAGTGCTCATTCAGAGCTGAAGTATATGCAAAGCTCCTAGACATGTCTGTGCACTGGGTGTTGAACGATGGGATCAATGTGGCGGACTAAGTAAAGGGAATGACAGGAGCCAAAGTGCTGGATGAGAAAGGGTAAGACTTGGCTTCAGCTCCTGCTGAAGGCCCCAGAGTACTGCAGGGATGTACTTGGGAAATGTCTGACAATATTAATGAAAATATAATGTAACAGAAATGATGTTAATTGGTGGTTTTCTGAGTCAATATGCTCCCCACAGGGTTCAGTTCTTTAAGTTTGTGGCTCCTGGCTTAAGGAAGTCATAGGAGAGTTGTAGGAAGCAAAGCTGGCTACAGAGTGAAGGGCCTTGAATGCCAGCTGTGATCGGAGTGGGGGGACAAATGAAAATTTCTGGGGTAGTAACATAACCTAATCCCCCCGCAACTGCCAGTGCTCTCCCTCTAAGTACCCCCCGCCCCCACACACAGGCTGTCCCATAGAATGAAAACTCCTTGAGAAGCAGGATGCTTTCATCTTTTTGTCTTTGCAGCCCTAGTACCTCACACAGTGACTGGCTTACAGTAAGTGCTTAATCAATGCCTGATGACTAAGAACCTAACCAATCAGTGAGACTGATCTGGTAGTGGAACGTGGAACAAAGAGCAAAGAATGCAGGGAGACTGGCAAGGGAACAAGGGAACAGAAGAATCGATGGGGCTTTTCAAACACCCAGTGGAAGAGGAGACAAAAATGACATTCAGCCTAGCCTGAACACCCCAAAAGAATTTGGGTCCTATTTGTTTTGAGGGGGGAATGATGAGGATGGGATCTAGACCCCAGAAAGGAAAAACCCTGTACTTTCCCACATGGCCAAATCTCTGGCGGTCCTCCCAACAACTCGTCTTTCATTGTGGCTACACCCAACCTACCCAATCTACCCCCCTATGCCCCCTAGCCATTTTCCACACTTCATCCCAGTGAGGCTCCATTCTCCCTAGGCCACAGATTCTAGGAGCACTGCTCACCCCAGCTTACTGGCCACTCCCATCCAGATCCTCCTTTGACCCCTCCTCCAGTCACCCCAAACTACGTGGCCACTCCTAGATCCCTCCCACAGTCTTTTTGTATATAAGGTCCATCTTGTCTCCATTAAGGTGCTTAGATTCTTAAAAATCTAGCCACTGCTCAGGTTCTTATAATCTAGCCAACAGCTCACTAACATTCAGACTCCTTAAGAGTATGCCTAATATGACTGATGTTCTAATAAACCCTGTCTTTGGCTGAAAAAAAAAATCTCACTTGAAAGAATGATGGTGGCAGCATTGTCAGAAAGAGAGAGGCCAAGAGGAAATGGGGCAGATGGTGAATTAATAGTCTAAAGAGTTAGGTGAACTGGAGGTGATGGTGAGGACAGCACCAGCAGGATAAGAACAGTAGAATCTTAAGAGGAAGGTTTAAATCCCAATGCTATTTATTGTGGCTGCCCTTGGCCAAGGTCATAGGTCTCTGTGCCTCAGTTCCCTCATTTGTAAAATGAAAGGTAAGACCAGGTGACCTTTAAGGTCCCTTCCCAGATCCAAATCTGTGACGCTATGATCCTACTGGTGAAGACATCCAGCAGGCAGCTGGAAATACTAGTCTAGAATTTAGGAGAGACATGAAGGAGAAGGGAATAAGTATTTATTAAGCTCCTACTATGTGCCAGGCACATCGTAAGCGTTAAGTGCTGTACAGATAATATCTTAGCTACTCCTCACAACAGCCTGGTGAGGCAGGTGCTAGAATGATTCCCATTTTACAGCTGAGAAAACAGGCGGGCAGAGGTTAAGAGCAAGACTACAGACATATGAGACTGAAGAGTCATCTTCACAAAAGCGACAGATGAAGAGAGGGAATGGATAAAGTCACCAAAGAGTCACAGAATTTGAAAGCTGGAAGGGACCTCCGAAGGGGTCCTCTACTCTAACTCATACACAAAAGGAATCGCCATCATGACATATCCTACAAGGAACAAAAGCAACAGAGAAGAGGGGAGAGGAGAGAACTCTACAGAACACGTACAGTTTAAGGGTCGGGAAGAAGAACCAGTGAAAGAGACAGCAGTAGAGAGGTCAGTGATTCAATAACATCACCACCAAGCTATCTGATTACCCATAGTCTAGGTTGCTCAAGGAGTGGAAATGAGTTTGGCTGATGGGAATTCCATGGTGTGGACTGGTGAGAAAAGATACCTGGTGATCTTAACATCAACCACCTAAGTGTTTATTGAGTATAAGGCCCCACACTGGCTACTGTAAAGAAGGAAAGACCAGGTCCCTATCCTAATGGAATGCAAAGTCTAGCAAATACTACATACACATACATAGACAATTACAGGGACATTGTAAGTAACAAATTATTCTGTTGCCAAGGCATCCTATTCCCAGGATTACCTGGATCACTAGGTGAAGAAAGTAACTTAGGAAACTGTACTAACTTACATTGACAACCTACAGCCAAAACAGCTATTCCTCTGCTTGAGTCATTATTAAAATATTTCACTTTCATCACCAAGGCCAGGAGGGTTAGAGTTCAGAGAGAAATATGATGTAGTGGGGAAGAGCCAGAAGACCAAGGTTTCAGTCCTGGCTCTGACAGTAGCTGTATGACCTTGAGCACAGTTTTCCCATGTGTAAAATGAGGGGAAGGTTCCTTCCTACTTTTAATGTTATTCTGCAGTTCTGCTTAGTAAAGGTAGGTGGAGATAGACTCCACCTCCAACAAGTGGCCTTTGTCCACCAACTCTGTCCAGTGACCATTCTTTCCAAAGATCTCCAGAACTTAGGTCAACAGGATCCTTGAGCAAAGCAGGTTATTAAAAATGCTCGATGGTTAGGTTAATGGCATAAGCATCCTTAAACACCTAGTCCACTGCCTTCCTTTCGAATCCCTAACGAGACGAAATGCTAGATATCTGCAGCGGGTATCCTCCAACACCCTGCCCAGCATCCTCTTCTCTTCTCCCTCTATACAGACAGTTCTTGCTTCATGTAAATTTGCATCATGCAAATTTGTGTTTATGTAAAGAATTCTGAAAGAAATCTGCATTCCAAAAAATACCAATGTTAACTTTACAACACAGTAGTACTTTGCACTGTCTCTGCTCCTGCCCCTAGGCTCTGCACTTTTCGGCATCCCACTACCCCACTAAGAAAACCTAAAAACCAAACCACCCTCCAAGTAAAAGCAGAAGAATGGACATGCATAGAGACCACCACCACCAATGGACTGGGGGCGTGGCTTGAAACCTCAGGTGTAAAGAGGAGACTTTAGCCTTGCTCTACCCACTTGCTCAGCCCCCACTTCTGTCAGCACTTAGGTACCGTGTGTCTGTTGTCCATCCTCCGCTGTCTGTCTCCCTGTCCAGCCCCCATGTGTCTATCCCTCCTTCCCCCTGTTCTTCCTCTCAGTTCTGACGAAGCCCCCACGGAGCCCTTTTTGTCTGCCTCCCTCCCTTCCCCATATCAGCAGGCAAAATGGCAACATGTAGAAACTGAGGCCTGAAGAACGGTCTAGTCAGTACTATTTTGCTTAATCTCATCAGCTCCTATGGATTCATTTTCACTTATATGCGGTTGATCCATCTGTCCTGCCTTGACTTCTAGTCTCACGCCTTAATTGCGCTCATAGGCCAGCTCTACACAGATGTCCCAGAGACTTCCTAAACATTTCCATAACTGAACTTGCTATTTCTTTCCAAGCCCCTGCCCTCATCCTAATTCTCTTATTACTGTCAAGAGCAAGAGCATCTCTCCAGTCACCTAGTCTCAAAATCTAGATGTCAACCTTGACTTTACACTCATCCCCTTCCTCCCATATCCAATCTGTTGCCAAGTCCTGTCAATTCTGCCTTCCTAATATCGCCCCCTTCTCTCCTCTGACACTGCTCCCACCCTGGCACAGACCCTCATCACCTTGCTCCTGGACTGCTGCAATAGCTGCAGATGGGTCTGCCTGCCTGAGTCTGTCTCTTTCCATTCCAGTCCATCCTCTACTCACCTGTGAAACTGACCTCCCAAACGCTCAGGTCTGATCCTATCTCCACCCCCAACCCTCCTCCCCCATGGAATCAACTCCTGCGGTTTCCTACTACCTCTGGATCAATTACAACATCCTGTTTGGCATTTAAAGTCCTTAACCTTGCCCCTTCCCACCTCTCCTCATGCCTTACACAGTCCCCTTCTCTACCATGTACTTTCTGGTCCAGTGACACTGATCTCCCTGTTGTTTCTCACATAAAACATCTCATCCCTCACAATTGGGCATTTTCTCTGGCTGTCCCCCATACCTGGAACTCTTCCTCTTGGCTTCCTTCAACCAAAGCCCCACTCTGTACGGGAAGCCTTTCCCAAACCCCCTTAACTCTAGTGCTTTTCCACTATGGATTACCTCCACTTTATCCTGACCAAGGCTTTTTTTTTTTTTGTGCATAGTCGTTTGCAATTGTGAACCCCTGAACTCTGGAAGCATTTTTTTTTTTTGGCCCTTCTTTGTATCCCCAACAGCTTAGCGCTGTGCTTTGCACACAGAAGGCGCTCAATGGATGCTTACTGAGGGAAACTTAATCCTATTGTGTCCTGGGAGTTGGCTTCAAGTGGGTATCGCCTCCCCTCTCCTCTCCGTCTCACCCTCCACCTTCAGGCACTGCCCATCGGATCTCAGGGACCATGGCAGAAATGAGGCACCTGAAGCCCGGGAGGGGGGTCCAAGGTCACGGGGGGGGGGAAGAGATCAAACGGCAGCGCTGGACTGTCCCCTGCGCCCCGCCTCCAGCTTCAGATCTACAGCTTTCTACCCGCTCCCAATAAAATGCCCTCCAAGAGGGTCCCACTGGCCCCACGTGGTAGCGTGGCAGGGGCCCACCGGCGGGGACAGGTCGGGCTTCCAGTTCCACCCAGGGAGGACTCAGACGGGGGAAGGCCCCAGCTGACCCCCCCAGCCTCAGTTTCCCCAGGAAGCACGACAAGGGAAGGGGGAGGGGTTCGCGTTTCCAGGACCGCGAGGCCGCGAATGGGAGAAGTGACCCCGGGTTGACCCACTCACGCGAGTGCTCGAGCTCGCGCGCCGCCTTGGCCGCACGCTCCAGGCCCGTGGGGTCGAAGTTGCTCCATTTGTCCTTGGGCGTGGGTCGGTCCCCGCCGCCTCCCGTCCGGTCCCCGCTGCCGTCCCCTCCAGTCGCGGGCGGCAGGGGTAGCACGGGCCCCGGGCTCTCGCCCTTCGGACCCTTGTTGACACCAAAGAGCCACGACATGGTGGGGCGCCCCCCGAGCCCCCCACGCGAGCCCGCCGAGATGAGAAGCCGCCACACGCGGAGCGAGCCGTCACGCGGCGCCCAGGGCGCAAGCGCAGGAAAAGGGCTCCGCCCCCTAGGGGGCGGACTTTGGAAGAGCGCGTGCCCCGAACCTCACGTTTAGGGGCGTTCCGCCTTTGGATTGGCTGCGAGGACGCATGACGCCTCCCTCGCGTACAGCCCCACCTCCGTCGCCGGCAAGTGAGGCTAGGGCTTACAGCAGCCCATTGGCTGCCGGCGATTCCAGGGGAAAGGTGGTCGGGGAGGGGCCGAGTAGGGTCGTCGGGGTCGTCGGCAACGGAGGCCGAGAGGGGACGACCAAGGGCGTGACGGCCGGAAAGAGGACCCGTGCCGGTGTCATCACTTCCGCTTAACAACGGAGCACGGTGCCCCGTTGCCAGGGGACGCCGAGCAGTGTTCAGGCCATGGCGGCAGCGAAGAAGCAGGTTCCCCGGGAGCCATTGAGCTTCGTGCTGCGCGGGCACCGGGCCCCGCTCCGGTGAGTGCGAGCGGCAAGAGGAACCGGAGACCCCCAGAGCTGGGCGAGTACTTAGAGATCACTGAACCCCATCCATTTCACTTTCCTCATTGCACCGAAGGGGAAACTGAGGTCCAGGAAGTGGAATCAGGGAACTCAAAGTCACCCAGAGAATCAGGGTCTGCAGCACTAGCAACCGAGGGGACCAGGGAAGGCTTCCTGTAAGAAGTGGACCCAGAGCTGAGCCTGCATTCATTCGTTCATTCATTCATTCAACAAGCATTTATTAAGTGCCTGAGATGTGCAGTAGCTGTTTTAGTTTCAAGGGGTGCAAAGACAAAACTGAAATAGTCCCTGCCCTCAAGGGGCTTATATTCTACTGGGGAGGATACAATTAAACAAGTGTTTAGTGCCTACTGTGCACCAGACACTATGTGCTATGTGCTAAGGATACAAAGAAAGGCAAAAAATTGCCCCGCCTTCACTCAAATGGGGAGATACATATAAGTAACTATGTATCTACAAGAAAGGTTTACAAATTTAAACTATATACCAAGCAATTTCAGTGGGGAAGAGGGAGGCACTCCTAACATCTCCAGATTCTGGAGGAATGCTTAAAGGCTGAGGAGGTGAATTTACTTAGCCTGGAAAGAAGCGAGAGATTCTAAGAGGAGGAGGGGAGAAGGGAGGGCATACTAAGCATAGGGACAAGCTTCTACAAAGGTATGTAGGTGGGAATTGGAATGCCAATTGCAAAGAGAGCAGTTTTTCTGGAACGTATGGTAAATGAAGTTGAGTAATGTACAGTGTCTGGAAACTGAAGGTACATTGTGACAGACTTAGCTGAGGAGTTTCTATTTTATCCTAAAAACAAGAGGGAATCACCAAAAATTCTTGAGTAGGGAAAGTAACGTGGTCAGACTTTTGCTTTAGGAAGATTTTTTTTTTGGTCCATTGTGTACAGGATAGGTTGGAAAAGGGAAAGACTGCTAGACTGGAGTCCAATTAGAAGGCACTTACAATGAATGTTTATTGGATCATTGGACTGGAATGATCCAAGTAAGAGGTGATTCAAACCTGGTTGAGGTTGGTGACTGGGTGAGTAGAGAGAAGGGGAGGGATACTATATACATTGTGGAAGTGGAATTGACGTGATTTTTGGCAAATGATTGGACCCTGGTTGAGGGGGAAGGGGAAGGTGAAGAAAAGGAAAGGATGAATTGATAATGATGCCAAGAAGTTTGAAAGAATGCAAAGGGAAGATAGCGAGTTCCATTTGGAATGGGTCATTGCTTGAGGGAGTACTAGACTCAAATGAAGGTTTTTTTAAGGATAAGTGAGACCTGGACATGTTTGTAGAAAGCAGGGAAGAGAGAAATGGAAGACTCGTGGGGGCTGGGCTATGATCAAAGAAACAAGCTCCAAGAGGAGGCCAGAGGTGACAGGGTCAAAGACACAAGCAGAGGAGTTGGCTTTGGCGAAAAGGATGACCTTTTCATCAGTAAAATGGCGGATACTGTACAGAGTTTTGAGATGTAGGGATAGGGGAGAAAATAAGCTGAGATCCTCAGTTAAGAGAAGAAGGAGAGGAAGGGGCTAAAGAGGCCTTTTGGAACAGCTATTGTGGGGGAGTGTGAGAGTCAGTTATGATGTTCCTGAGGCCAAATCCTAACCCTAACCCTAGGTGGGGTGTGTGGCTTGGAGCAGTCTCCCTCCAACTCCTAAGGGCACATCGACAGGTAAAATGTTCCAGGGCCTTAGGCAGACTTTCTAACCCTTTCCTTCTGCCCCCAAACAAATAAACCAAAATGATTTTATTACCTACTTTTTGCAAATTTCCCCTCAGAATGACTGTTTCCTATAACTGAAAGAGTAGGGGTGTATTAGGGTTATGGGTTTGGTGTGAGAAGATTTTTTTGGTCTGGGAGAAAGAACTATACGTTGACTCCAGAAGTGATATTTCCCATCATTCCTTGAGAAAACTGCGAGAACAACCTTCCTTTGCAAGGAAGGAAGATTGTTGGGGACAGGCAAAGAGCTTAAGCTCTCTTTTAAGATGCCAATGAATCCACAACGTCATCACCTACCTATGTTTTTGCCTTGACCCCAGAGGGTGAGTAAACAGTCTGTTGAGGGGGCACTGAGTATACCAATATAATTATCAGCTGGAAGAGGCCAGCTAAAGTTCCCAAGAACCCTTTCAGTCATTTTTCAGTTGTGTCTGACTCTCCGTGATCCCATTTGGGGTTTCTTTGCAAAGATACTGGAGTGGTTTGTCATTTCCTTCTCCAGCTCATTTTCCAGATGAGGAAACTGAGGCAGACAGTATGAAGTGACTTGCCCAGGGTCAAACAGCTAGTAAGTGTCTGAGGCCAGATTTGAACTCAAGAAGATGAATCTTCCTGACTCCCGGCCTTGAGCTCTATCCACTGTACCACCAGAACCCTTGGGATACCTTGTAAGAATGTTTCCTCTCTGGAGGGAGCTGTAGGGCTGTCAGCTAGGAGAAGCAGGTGAACCAAAACAAGAGGAGTGAGAACAGGCCTGGAAGCAACGAACTCCAGGGCCTTATAGAACTCAGGATTTCCCCAATGGCTATCAGTGAGGCTATCCCCATGGCCCTATTTAGGCCCTGGTAGACCTTTCTTAGTTAATTTACTGCCTCTTCTTGATCATCCTCGCAGACACCTAGAACGTTCTCTACCAAATTAGGACAGAACAGAAATTCAATTGGGGATGATTTTAAGCCTGAGCATAAGAGGGACACCAAGAGAAAGAACAAAAGGGAGGAAATGCTTGACATCCTAAGATAATTACTTCTGTGTGTATTGTGTTTTTTATGAAGAGAGAAACGAAATGAATTTCTCAGTAATACTCAGAAAACTGCACTTGGCCAACATCATAACTCTCATGAATTAGCCAAGAACCAGGCACCTCTGGGCAACCTGAAAAACACTTCATGGACTCACGAGGAAGAAATGGGTAAGGATGAGTGAGCCCAGGCATCATCAGGGCACTCGGAAGGAGCCAAACCCTTATCCCTAAAATGGAATGCTTGTGAAGGGCTTGCCCACCATATGCTGTCACGGGGGCAACATCAGGAGCCTATGTTCTGCCGTCAGGGAACCTACAATCTAATCAGGGGAGGGCAAAGACAAGTAACGATAATGCTAGGGAGGGTGAAGCGAGTGCAAAGAGGAGGTCCCGAAAAAGGTGCAATGAGAAATATAAAGAAAGAGGGAGGGAGCAAGAGAGAGAGAAAAAGAAGGGACAAAGAGAGAAGAGAAGAAAGAGAAAGGGGGAAAGAGAGGGAAAGGAAGAAAGAAAAGAGAGGGAAAGAGAGTAAAAACAGGGAGGGAGAAAGAAAAGAGGGAGAAAAAGAGGGAGGGAGAGAAAGAGGAGGAAGGAGAGGGATGGGAAGAGAGAGGAAGGAGAAAGAAAAGGGGGAGGGAGAGAGAAAGGGAAAAAGAGAAGAGAGGGAGGGAGAAAGAGAGGGAGGAGGGAGAGAGAGGGAGAAAGAAGGAGGAGAAAGAGATGGGGAGAGAGAGAGAGAGCTGGCACCTGGGGGGAGGGGGAGTATAGGGGCAGAGCAGGGGCATCTGAGGTGATCCTCAGGGCTGGAGAGCAGTGCCCATTCCAGAAGGAACGGTTCTGTTGGTTTGACTGCTGTGTCCAAGGCTGAGGGGCCTGGGCTGGCTGCCAGATGTCTGGGCTCAGGCAGTAGTTAAAAAGGGCTAAGTGGGATGGTTTGCACTCCCTTGGTCACCACACAATAGGGCTGGGCCCTAGGGTGGGAACTCCAAATATGAACACGTATGAACTTCCCTAAGGACTGGGGGGCAGGGAACCAAGTCAGTCTACTATTTAATGGATATACCCTCCCCCCTTATTTAAAGCATAAAATAACTTGGTTAAATTTTTTCAGTGGTCATTTCCTTTAATGCAGCTTCATTTCACATCATCATACTTTGCTTATTACAGAATGAGGTGTTTAGGTTTTTGCTCTCAAAGAATCATGGCCAAAACCAGAGCTCAGCCTGCCCATATGCAGTAAAGTCCCACCATTTTTCCTGTCTAATATGACATGAATGCACTGACCAGGTTCCTTAAGTGGGGCCTAAAGTCCTGTTTGTGTCTTCAAACCTTAGAGCCATTCAGGGCAGTCCACACAGCTCCACTTGGAAGGTGCCCTAGCAGTCCTCACTCCTCTACTGGGCCAGTCACAGTTACTAAGACAACCCAGGATCTAGGTTGGGGTGATACTGCATCTTGTCAGAAGTAACTGAATGCCATGGAATCCTATGACTTCTAAGATCTTGTATTGTGTTTTTCCCCTCCAATTGTGCAGCTGGTTTGTCTTCTCAGAAGGACAGTCCCACCATTGACGACCTAGAGGAAAGTTTACAGAAGCTGAAAGTCCAAGTGCACCCACGCTTGGCCCACAGCTTGAGTCTTGACTCTGACACCGAAGATGTCTCTGGTTCAGATGCCACGGACCTCTGTAGTCCTGGTCAATCTCAGTGGTCTGAAGATCGATGTACCCCATCTCCTGAGTGGGAGAGGGAAGCCCTGCTGAAGGCACCCATGGACTTGGGACGGTTTCTGAGTCCCCAGCGCTTGGCCACACCGTTGGGAAATAACTCACACCTTAGGACTTTAGGCCTTCCAGTGAGGTCCCTGGCTCCAGGCAACTCCAGAGCAGGCCTTCTGGGAAGTGAGGTGTCCAGCAGTAGCTGTCTGCCCTCTGTAGCCTTGGTGATGGATGGGTCCCCAGCACAGTCCTGCCCGCCTAAACTAGGAGCACCTCACGTGATCGGTGTGAAGTCTCTGCTGCCTCCTAAGATCCCAGTGAGGTCCTGCTCTCCCCAGAGGAGAGGCGGCTCTCCCAGAATACCCAGAGGCAGGTCTCTTTCTCTCACCCGATCCCATTCTTTCTCCCCGGCTTCCAAAAGGACGCGATGGGTCCGGTCTCATTCCCAGTCCCCCAGGCCCATCTGGAGACCCACCTCAGCCAGAGCCAATGCTTGTGCACAGCCCCCACCTCAGCTCATCCAATCCAGGGGAAGCAGAAGGAAACCGGCACTCAGCAGACCATCTCAATTTCGAACTTCTAAGACTGGTCCCTGGGCTGCCCCCCGGGGCTGCATGCCCCCCGAAACCAGGGAGGAAGAAACCCTGGACCACTCCTGGAGCCCTTACTGCCTGCCTGTGCCTGGGATCTCCTCCCCCCTGGCTCAGGAGATGAACGAAAGGTAACGATCAGAATACAGCTACACCCTTTTCACTTTGCAGACCCCCCTTCGTAGGTAGTATCTTTGGAGACATATAGCAATCCTGGGAGGCAGGAGAATCCCGTAAGAGGATCCATCTGTAAGAGGAGAAAACTGAGGCTCGGAGCAAGTGACTTGTCTAGGGTCATAGTTAGAATCTGATGATTCCAGCCCAGCCTACCGGTTACCAAGTCCTGTATCCTGGATCCTAGAAGCTCCCCCCGCCCCCAGCCCTTCCTGTTGTCCCATAAGTGTAGAGCTGACTTCAAACTTAGCCAGGGCTCATATCTACAGCTTTCAGAGAAAGCAGCATTCTCAGAGCAGACTTTCACCAAGTTTTTGCTCAGCAAGATGCCACTTTGTGGGAGAATAGGGGGAATTTTTAAAAACCTGAAATGAAGATGTCTCTCCTTTGCCCCAAAATCACGGTTTCCATCTTTAAGTGAGTCCGTTCCATTGGCCAGTTGTGGCTTTCAAAGAAACGGGGCCTGGAGCTGCTTGCCTGGGACGCTTCAGCAACATCAGCGATGAGCCCCTTCCAGCAGCCCTGGGTGAGACTGTTACCTCTGAGTTAGTAGCTGCATCAACAATCCGTAAATTCTTGTTTGAGGAATGGACTTTGTATGAGGGAAGGTGGTTTGTGGTTGTTTGATTAATATTTTGGTTTTTTCTGATTACACATAAAAACAATTTTTGACTTGCTTTTTTTTTTTTTTTTAAATTTTGAGTTCCAAATTTTGAGTCTCCCTGAGACAGCAAGCAATTTGATATAGGTTATACATGTAGAGTCAAGTAAAACATGGGTTTGTGGTTGTTTGGGTGTTTGTGAGAAATGGCTGGTGTGTTAAGAAAAAAAAGGATAATCTTTCTTTGAAAAAACAGAGCATGGGGCAGCGACGTGGCACAGTGGATAGAGCCCGGCCCTGGATTCAGGAGGACCTGAGTTCAAATCTGGTCTCAGACACATAACACTTGCTAGCTGTGTGACCCTGGGCAAGTCACTTAATCCCAATTGCCTCACCAAAAAAAAAAAAAAAGAGAGAGAGAGAGAGAGAGAGAGAGAGAGAGAGAAAACAGAGCAGAAGATTTAAAATACTCATTTCAATAATTCAGCAACTATTTATCGGACACCTACCACATCCCAGATGCTACAGGGTGATACAGTTCAGGTGGGCACCCCGGCCTAAGGCCAGTCATTAACACACCCTTTGTTTGGCAAGTGATTCCTTGGCTAATAAAGTCAGATGGAGCAAGGGAAACTTGGAGAGTGGCCATGGGGGTCCAGAACCAGAAACAGGGTGAAATTAAAGGGGTACCATGACAGCTTAGAACCCCAAGTCTGTTCATTTCAGGTTCTTCCAGACCCTCCAAGAAGGGCATGTGCATCAGTCCCTGGGGACCGTGGCCCCCATCCAGAGAGCCTTGACACGACTCCGTTTGCAGCGCCTTCGGGCAGAGGAAGAGTGGGTATTGGAGCTGAAGAGACAGCAAGAGCAGGAACGGACCCGAGGCCCCAAGGCCAAGTGGTAGGTGCTGAGATCTCCTTTGGGGCCTGCTGTCTTGGTCACTGGTGCCCTGGAAAGCACGGGATTCTCCTGCCTCCCAGGAGGCCACGCCCTTCTGGTACCACCCAGGCCATTCCTGTATCTCCCAGGATGCTCTGGGAGGTGTTCATGTTGCAGCTCAGTGACTCCTCTTTCCTGTGGAATTCTGTTGGACCTCTTCCTGCCTCTCCTTGTAGAATTGAAAAAGAGCCTTTATTATGGCTCATTTTTCACCCACATTTTTAAAGCACCCAGGGTAATTAGCAGGTTGTGTCTTAATTTTCATGGAGAAGTAAAGGACCCCCGCTGAAGCCCTCTTCTTAAGCCTTATCCTGGTATGGAGGGAACTGGGGGTCTTCACAGGCTTTGCCAGGGGACCTCGAGCTCCAGCAGGTTCTTCCAGGCTGGGGAACTGGATCTCTAGACTTAGGGACAGACAGGCTGTGGGCCTGCGATCTGTGAGCCAGCCTGAGAGAGCTCAGGGAGGCTGTCTCTGGGCTGGCCACACCAGGGATGACCCCCACCAGCAACATCCACCGCTGTCAGAGGTGGCCAAGTCAAATTCTCCAAAAGGTAAATAATACTTTTTAAAGACCTTGTCATCTATATGAAGACTCCTAGCCCATGCAAGAGACACTGGAGACCAGTTTTCTGCCTCTGCTCCAGCATGAGGAGCCTTGATGGTTCCTTGGCCTGCCTAGGATCCATGCTGATGTAAGGCCAGAAGGAAGATGGCGGCTCGTGGCAGCTGTGCCGTGCCCCACCCCCCATCCCTGCTGTCAGCCTTGTTCTAGGGGAAGTTCAGTCCTGAGATTTCTTGATATACCAGCTGCCTCCATTTCCCATCCCCCTCCCCACAAGGGCACCTGTGTTGGGCTGGTGCACAGGCCTGCTTGGCTACCTCCTCCCCGCAGCCTGGGGCGTGGGCTCTGATCTTCCTCTGCTGCCCACCTTTCCATCCCCACCTCCAATTTACAGGCCACTCCAAGCCTTCGATCTGTGAATTGGGCTCTACCTGGTCTCACCTTCGAGTGTCTTCTTTTACGCCCAGTAACGGGGCGCTACGAGGCACCTCTGTCTAAGAGGCAGAGCACCAAATACCAGAAGACATAGTCTCTGCTTGGAAAAAGGTTACACAGCCCATAAAAAGTGGAGGGACAGCTGGACGAGGGAACCGTGAATGGCACGTGAGGCTTGAAGTTTGACTGAACTCCGCATTCTGCTCCTAGGGAGCAGTGCTGTCCGTATTCCAAGTGGGTTGTTATTTCAGATGCATTCTGTTCTGTTTTGTTTCCCAGCTGCCCCGCAGCCCCAAGTCAGACACTAGGGTGTTTGTTCTAGAAGAATTTTGAACGTGTTTGTTGCTCTGTTTCTACAGAAACCGTTCATTCCCCAAAGGAGGAAGCCCCACATAAAATATCAGCTCCATGTTTTCCCCTGTTGTGGCAGACCCCACACATGGCTGGTCACACTCCCGACTTCACATGCCATTAGAAACCCAGGGGAGCGCCCAGCCTGCTGGCTGCCCTATGACAACATGGGAACATATAATCCCCCCTAATACCTTGAGCGAGTACTTTCCTTCCAAGGGCTCAGAGTGTCTGGAAGGCGTCTGCAGTCCCGCTTCCAGATGCATGATGGTCTGGGGCAGAGATCAAATTTAACGAACTAACACCCGAGCCCTCGTTCCTTCAGCAGATCTTGTGCCCTCACCTTCCACTGAGCTCTAGAGACGGATGCTGTGGGCTCTCAGCTCTGGGCCCCTGGGTAGAGGGGGAGGGGCACATTCCAAGCACCCATCATCATCTTCTCATCAGGCCCTCCTGCTCTGGACAAAGAATCAGAAGAACAAAAGCAATCATTCTGCACAGCAAATTCTGGGAGGCTGTGCAGGCCCCTTGTGCTAAGGAGCCACTCAGTAGTTTCCCTTTTTATACATCAGATCAAATAAAACAGTGAGTTTATAGAACTAGGCAACTGTTTATAGAACGAGGCAATTCCTCCCTGTCCCCTGTGCCCCCTTACAGTACGCCGCTTTAAAAGACGGTCTAACGTGGGATAACAGGTAGGCCGTGGACGGCGTGCTCCTCTCTCTGGCTGCACTGCTGCTCCCAGCCCGGCCCCCGTGCGGCACCTTGTCTCTGACAGCTTCGGGGTCCCCGCTCAGAGTCTGGCTGCCTGTGCTCTGTCACGGCTCTGCGGGCCACTACAGCTGTTTCTGATTTTCAGGTACGAGATGAGAAGCTCCCAGTTCCATTATGAAGCCCACAAACATAATGAGAGGCTGAGGAATAGCCAGGTCTCGCCGCTGCTCTGTAAACTAGAGACAGGAACTGGCTTCTGAGGCCAAGGAGTTCGACGAGCACTCCCTGCCTGCCCACCTGGATTCCTTTTTAACACAGCAGGATGGTTAGGAACGGGTTTGGAAGGCTAGTGAAGCTATCAGCTGAAGCCTTCGAGTTCTCCAGGGTTCTCTGGCCTTGTGGAATGGAGAGCAAGGAGGCCACTGTCTTCCAGAATGAACACCCCAAACCCCAGAGGAACCTTCCTTTGGAAGAGGGAGAGAAAGAGCCAGCTCTTCTTACTGACTGGACAAAGATTGGAAGGTCTCATCTTGGAACAGAGAAACTCGAAGCCGAAAGGAGACGTGGGCTTGTCTCTCTCGTCCCCACTGCTTAAAACCCAGCAGAGAAGGACTGGCTTCTTCTGGAGAGATGTTTGTCCATTCATTCACTCGCTCAAAGTGCACTTGTGAAATATCTACCATCACTAATTGCCAAGTGAGATACAAAGTGTAGCTAAGACAACTCTTGTTTTCATTCAGTTTGGTAAAACAAATACCAAGTGGGGCTCTGTCATTGACATGACATTCAGGGAGCTCGCAGCCTCTTCAAGGGGACGAGATAAACAGAGAGCACCAGAATATACAGTATTATGACTTGAGTGCCCCAGAGAGTCCAGAGGAAGGCTGTTGCCAGCCAGGGCTTGATGGAGGTGGGGGCTAGGGAATGGGGAAGTCTCTCTGGACAAAGTAGTAATGGAATTGGGCTTTGAAGAATGAGTTAATATTTAACAAGCCAAGAAGGGGAGGAAGGGCGCTAACCTGCAAACCATGGGACAGGAGCTGCTGGTGTTGGTGTTGGCCACATTACAAACGTGATTAAATAAAAAGTTCTGATCAATAGTGTTTGAATGGACCGAGCACTTCCCGGTGCTTTGGGATTTATAAAAGTGTGTGTACTGTGTCTAATTAGCTGTCCAAAGGAGGAGTCAGAAGCAAAAAGACTGCCCCTGTTACATGATTTTCCCCCTAACATTTAGACACTTGAATCATGTTTATTAAATGTTTGGTTGGGTCAAAAGCTAGGCATTTGGGGCAAGGTCGGGGTTATTTTTAGGTTACAGGGGGGACAATCATATTGGGACTGATTAACAGAATCCCGACAAATGTTCCTGTCTTTGATTAAGACATCATAAAATATACCCATTGTTTTCTACTGAGGAGCGTTTGTGTGATTATTGCCTGGCAGCTCAGGACACAGCATCCCCAAAGGGGGTGGGCAATGCCACGGGACCAGCTTTCTCGCTGAATGACAGGGTTCTGCACCAGAAACAAATGGACCAGAACACTATAGAGGCTGCAGATCGGGTGGGAAATGAGTCAGAGGTGCTGTGTGGCCAGCAGGTGGCGCTGCAGCCCTAGTCTCTTGCCCAGCACTCTGCTTGATGCTGGTGACTTTGCAAAGGAAAGTTTTCAATCCCGTTTGCAAAGGGCTTTCATTTACTGAACCCAGTGGCTTTAAGTGCATGCCTGATGGTGGCACATGGGAGGTCACAGCCCACATACCTGCTGGGCCCAAAGACACTTCGTCAAAAATCATATTGGGGGGAAAACAGCCGTCTCTGGGTTGTAATCGTCCCTAAGTGATGCTTTCTGCCCTGACTGGGAGAGAGAGGGGAGAGAGGAAGAGGGAGAGGGGGAGGGGGGGAGGGGGGAGGAGAGAGAGAGAGAGAGAGAGAGAGAGAGGGACGGGAAGGGAGAGAGGAGAGAGACAGAGAGAGAGAGAGAGAGAGAGGTGGAGAGGTAGCTTGGGGCCAACTGGCAACAGGAAAACCCCAAGGTTTTTATACACACTCATTATACAATCAATCAATAAACGTTTATTAAGCACCTACTAGGCATTGTGTTAAGCACTGGGGATACAAAAAGAGGCAGAAGCCAACCCCTGCTTTCAAGGAGCTTGTGGTCTAATGATATATAGACACACGCACATATGCACATTCATGCACATATACAACACTTGGCTGTTCACCCGTGTCTTTGGGCACAGTATATGCATGGGGGCTAGAACTGCATACCAAGACCCCATATATGCCACCATCAATCATGTACTTAAGCCACTGGGATTAGAGAAGTAAGTGTAATTTGCACCATTAATATCTCCTCCAACACCGTCTTAAGTTAGATGATCAAAACAAAAAAAAGCCTTGATTTGTAGCGTTTGCCAGGGGTCAGATGGTCACACTGAAAATCTAACAATCAGCTAGCAGCATACCCATTACATAATATATGTATAATATATAACCAAATATATATTACAAATAGTATGTATGTGTGTATATGTGTTTGTGTACGCGTGGCTAGGTGGCACAATGAATACAGCTCCAGGCCTGGAGTCAGATTATTCCTTCTGAGTTCAAATCCAGCCTCAGACACTTACTAGCTGTGTGACCTTGGGCAAGTCACTTCACCCTGTTTGCCTCAGTTTCCTCATCTGTAAAATGATCTGAAGAAGGAAATGGCAAACCAGTATCTTTGCCAAGAAAACCTCAAATAGGATCACTAAGATTTCGACATGACATTAATAAATAACAGTAACATACATGTATACACACATGCATATGTGTATATGTGCACATATGTGTATATATACATATGTGTATAAATAAACATTCACACCCATATATAGATATTTACATCTCTTCTATAGCCATATAGGCTGCCCTCAGACTGTCCTCAGGTGATATCTGGCTCATAGAATCATAGATTTCAAGCTAGAAAAGATCTCAGTGATCAAATGAGGTTATATATAAAATGAAATGATGGCTTGAAAGCCATCCTCGAAGCAAACCTCAAAGCGCCATATAAACATTAGCCCTGCAGCTCATCCCTCCTGCTTTAAGGATGAGGAGCTGAGTCCAGAGAGGTTCATTGTACGGGAGGTGGTTGGAGGTGCTCTGGGTCCCATGTGACCAGTGGGCTGGGCTCATCCTAAAGGCCCCCTCCCAGTTCACTGCAGCCGCTGACCCTGGAAGGTTCTGCAGAAGGCCGCACCCTGCTGATTCCACATTGGGTTCGTGCTTTCTGTGCCTGTGACGGCTTATCAAAGAGGTGGAAGCTGGATCTGGGCAGCTCTGCTTTGCCTCTCTCTGGGCCAGGCGGGGCTCCCTGGGGGCCCAGCTCCTCTTTCAAGCCACTCAGCAAACTCTGCAGATGTTCCTTCTGTGTGACTCGTCATCATTGCTGCCATAGCTCACTCGTGCTTTAGATTTTTGCAAAGTAATTTCCTCCAGTCTTCCCATTTTCATTGTGAATGCTCAGCACCCTTCGTTATGTGGGCAGGAAAGCTGACAGGAGACAGGATTTACACCTTCTACCTTGTGAATAGCCAGCTTGCTCAGTGTTCCTATGGAACGCCGTATTTATTCCCATGGAGCCTTTCACACAAGAAACCCTTAATAAATGTTTGTAGAATTGGTTTAAGCCTTGTTTCAATACAGTGGCCTGTGAATACAACCTCCACCGTCCCTAAAATGGGCCAGGTGGCTGTTTACCTTCCTTTCACAACTGCTTTTTTTTTTTCCATATACCCCAAAGTTATATAAACCAGGAATTAGGACTGGGAAGATGCCCTGGCATCTCAAACAATAGAATGAATTTAGATCAAGCTATAGGATGAATGGTTGGAAGTAGAGAGTGATGACATGAAAGCTATCGTCAGAGATTTGAAGGGTTGTAATTCGATATCATTCGTCTTGTTTTCCTTGATCCTGGAAGCAAAATTAGGAACAAAGAATAGATGGATGAATGGATGGGTGGGTGGATGAAAAAGCACTTAATAAACAAACAATATGTCAGGCACTGTGCCAAATGCTGGGGATACAAATACAAAAAAACAAAGATAGCATCTGCCCTTTAAAGAGCTTCCATTCCAGAAAGGGAGAGGCCATACACAAACAGGGGAGGGACGGCCAGCTAGGTTACAGGAATGATGAGTGATGGCCCCAAAGGAGGGGCTTGACACACTCCTTCCCAGGACAGTGGCAGATGTGAGGACCAGGTGAATACAGGGGAGAGAATCAGATTTTAAGTTGCAAGTAAGGAAAATCTTGATGCCCAGGAGAGTGGCCCAAAGGTGTTTGAGGCTGCCCTGGAAGGAATGGGCTTCCTGGCAATGGTGTCCACTAGGGAAGACTGGACAAGTTACTCATTGGCAATGCTGCTGTTGGCACAAACATTTGTGCTAGCTCTGAGGAAATGGGTAAAACTGCTTTCTAAAAATATGATTTTAATTAAGACACTCCCAGGTAAACTGTTTGGGCAGGAGGGCTTGCCCCAAGCATATGAAAGCAGTTTTTTCATCAGCCCCCCAGGGTCAGGCTATTAAATAACACAACCATTGCCTTTGGAAAGGGCAAAGCCATCCCTCCCTCTGGTCCCACTCATCATCTTTGAGTCATCCCAGGCGATAACTCCCCAGCCCCCAACCCTCCCCTGTATGTGTAGTGTACCCTAGAATGGAAGCTCCTTGAGGGCAGGGACTATCTCTCTTTTGTATTTGCATCCTAGCACTTGGCAGGTAATAGATGCCTAAGAAATGCTTTTCGTTTCACTTCTTAGGGGAAGTGACCGTGAGCTCCACGAGTGCTGGAATCTTGGAATCCATGGATTCTGAGAGTTGGAAATGGAGGGGACTTCCACCACCATCATGTCCGACCCCTCCATGTTACAGATGAGGGAACTGGGACTGAAAGAGACCGAGTGACTAAGTAAGTGTCTGAGGCAGGACTCGAACCCAGGTGTGCCCAACTCAAAAATTCAGAACTCTGACCACTGTACCACTTTCCCGTTTCTAACATGCATTAAACTTTACAAATCTCTTGCTTCACAGCCACCCTCTGAGGTCAGCTTTTTTTTTTTTCCAAGTCAACACATATTAAATGCCTACTATGTGCCAGGCACTATGCTAAGTGCTAGGGATACAAAGAAAGGAAGTTCCCATCCCTGTTTTCTGGAGAAGGAAACAAGCTCCGATATTAAGCTAGGGTCACCAGGGTTGGTAGGTATCAGAACTCAGGTCTTCGGTGGGACTCCAAGGCCAGCGATCCTCCCCCTACCCCATTGCTGTCTTATCCTACCTTCAAGGGTCCAAAGGAAGGCCACGAGAATGAAGAGAGACAATCTTAGCTCTGCTCAGCCCCTGAGTGTAGAGCTAGGAGCCAAGGGCAGAAGTGATGGAAAGGCAGACATGGGCTTAGTGTTAGCTATTAGAGGGAGACAGAAGAGCAAGGTTGCCCCTCCCTCCAGGTCATCAGGCAGAGCCTGGCTGACCACTTGCTGGGGTTGGTGTTGAGGGGATTCTGGGGTGGACGCAGAGGCTCCTTCCAAGCTCTGACCTTCTGCGGAGCACCCAGCAGCGTGTGACACAAAGCTGTCTTTAATAAGTGGTGAATAGGGTTTGGCCAGTTTCATGAAAATGAACGGAGGAGGGAAGAATTTTGCATTTAGAACTGGCAGGGACATTTTTCAGATGAGGAAGCAGCCTCGAAAAGAGGAATTGGCCTGCCTGGGATTGCATGGAGAGCAGTAAGTAGAGGAGCCAAGATTCGGACGGTTTGTCTTTCTAGCACACCATGGTAACTTCTCTTGATAAAACTGGGGTCAAAGGGTCCCCTGTCTACCCCCCCCCCCCACCACAGACACATCAGGCCTGGAAATTGAGCTGCTCCAGCAAAGAGATCTGTTGTTTTGTTTTTCAAATGGCATCATCCATCAAAGGAGAAACATTTAAGAGAAGAAAACCACTCTGTGTGTAGGCTTAATTTATTGTTGTTTTAAAGTCTGTTACATTAATGGGGAAACAAGGGGAAAAAACAAAGCATTCAGTTAGTTCAGGATAGCCTGTGCAAAAATCAGTAGGTGAAGTAGACATCCGCTGACCAGGATGTGAACACAGGGATCTCCCTTTGGAGCCCTACTTAGCATGAGCTTGGGAGTTAGAAGTACCCCAGGGCCACCCCCACTGGACCGCAAAGAGGAACTAATACTAGAACAGGGTAACAGAGTGCAAGAGAAACCAGAACCCCTTGTATGAAGGGGCAGGGTAAAACACTGAAAATACAGCCATCTCCCACTGCCCCCACCCTGGAGCCCTTGGGCAAAGTGGTTTCCAATTATTTTCATTTTCACTCCACCAGCAGACCCTTCCAATGACTAGTAGAACGGAAGCTCCTTGAGGGAAGGGACTCATTCACTTTTCATGTTGTACCCCAAGTGTCTGGCACTTGATAGATACTTAACATTGGCAGAGTTGCACAGAATTTCTCCATCTTGCTTGGCACAGAGGTGACCTGGGGCTCTGACATGGAGCTCAGGTCAAGAACTGACCTATTGACAGAATCTGTCTCTGTCACCTAAGGACCAGCTGACTGGCCACAGCAACCCAGGGAAGAATTGTGGTTGTTGGTTTTTTTTTTTTAATTTAAAAATAAAGATGTATTTTCTGCCTTAACCATGGACCCCTCCTGGTGCCCTCTCCTTGGATGCTCTTCACCTTGGAGAAAGATCTGATGCAATTCTTGCACCCTTGGGTGGTAATGACCTCCTAGAGACCCCTTGTTGGAGATGGGGAGGAAATCTGCACTTAAGGAAAGGCTCTGCCACATGGGAAAGAACGGATGGAGTCCTAACTGGGGGGAAATCTCAGGTTGTGGAAAAACCTTTAGGATTAGGAGGGGGCAAATTTGAGAGGGCAGGGGTCATCCCAGTATCCCTTATCTGCCTACATTCTATACCCATGGCCAGCACTGCTCAGCTTCCACAACCAAGCCTTGAGTCACAATCCCATCCCCCCTATCTTTTAGGGAAATCAGGCCTAGGAAAATAGAGACAAGGTCTCAGGCCAATGCCTTCCCAGTTCCTCAACTCTTCACTTTGGGCAGGTCATCGACAACACATGAGTTAGTACAAGAGAGAAGAGAGTGAGTCTACAGCCCATGGCTGAGCCATCAGCATGTCAGGCTATGGACTCAAGTCCTTGAGGACCACCCAAGCTGGCCCAAGCTGACTGCTGACCCACTGGATGTAGGAACCCTGCAAGGGATGAGAAAGGACTGATGGGAAAGCCAACTAGCCACAGAGATTCCGTCTTCGCTCCCCAATCTCTTCGGCCCAGCGCTTTCCCCTCTGGTCTGTTTCTGAAGGAAAGGCTCAGCTCTCCTCCGTTATTTGGGACTAAGAGCATGTTGGGGCATGGCTAAGTGGGCCGATACTCAGGAGCCGGCGTGACTGGAAAGAAAGGCAGAAAATATTGTCCCAAAGGCATTTTTAGAAAGTTCCATTTGCTATATTTCAAGTATAATAAGTCCCTCGGCCAGCAGAAAGGGGCCATCTTGGTCCGTAGACTGGGAGCTGTCCTACCCACCCACAGGCCCTCCTGCAGAGCCAAGGACCCGGATATCTCCCCTTTGGCCAGGCCTCTCTCTGGACCCTCCACAGGGCATACTCCTTCCCATTGTCCCTTCTGCTTTCCACATGCCAAAACCTTAGCCATTCTACAAGGCCACACCTTCTCCACAAAGCCTGTACTCCCCGACTTCTCCAGCCCTCGGGGACACCCTTATTCCCTCTCCTCTGACTATCTATGGGGTCCCAATTCCAAACTCAGGCTTGTGCTATCTGCTGCTGTTATCTCCAGTACTTACCAGGGTGCATGCGGACGGTCTGGCAGCGCCGAGACCCAGCGTGGCTCTGGTAGATGGGCGTCACACACACATGGTTGGTGGTGCCAGCAGCCAGGCCCGTGAGGACGACGCTGTGGGTCTGTGGTGAGACGCTGAGAAGGGATGGCGGCCCCACCTGCCGCTGACACCGTACCTGGTAGCCCTGGACATCGCCCTCTGCTGAGTCCCACGAGGCTTTCACAGTGCTAGAGCCCAGGCTCTGGAAGTAGAGGTGCCCAATCTTGGAGGCCACTGGCCTCAGGGCAGAGAAGGGGCAGAGGTCAGCGGAGTCCTAAGGGATGGAGAGCCTAGCATAGAAGGGTCAGGGACACCGAGGGGTATCCCATAAATGCAGTTTATGGGATATTTAGAGACCGTCACATCCGACCTCTTCATTTTAAACATCAGAAGACTGAGGCACAGTGAGATTAGGACTGGCCCAGAGTCCTGTATCTATTAAAGTGTCTGAGGCAGGTTTGAAGTGAGGTCTTCCTAGTTCTTACTCTGACCCACTGGGTGATGACACCTTTTCATTAAGCTCTCATGTATAAAATACTGCATTGGAAGGACAAAGCTTAGAGAGGATGGGCTGAAACATGGCCCCAAAAGATCCCATTCCCACCCCCAACAATCATCCCCAACTTCCTAAGACAGGCAGTTCCCTTGAGCCGGAAGGGACCTGAGAGGGCATCAGACCCAACCCTTATCAATATAAGGTATCCACTCTACATGTACAAGTTCTACTCAAATACCTCTAATGACAGGGAGCTCACTACCTCCTGATACAATTCTTTCTAACGTCTCTAACCCGACTCCCAGACTGGATCACACAAATGACCCACAGCCACACTTGGGCTAACTAAGATCAGTGGGAGAAGGTGAATGGGGATAGGAGGAGCCCTGAGACTAGGACTTTCTACCAAGGAAATTTCAGGAAAGGGCAGCAGGAGGGGAGAATCAAAGGATGACCTTCATCACCTCCTAAAACCAAGGGCTAGAAAGGGATATCAGAAACAAGGAATGTTTCCCAGGGAAATCATCCTGAGCACTTTACCTGCCTGCCTGGGGTTGGTGAACAATACGGTGGCTGAAGGGACTCTGTAGGGGGAGTTCACCTTGTTCTCTGCCTTTCCTGCTCTCTGATCTCCTCTTTTTCTTTGCTTTTTTATAAATAATATTTTATTTTTTCCCAGTCACACGTGAAGATAATTTTTAACTTTCATTTAAGAAAAATTTTGAGTTCCAAATTTTTTCCCTCCCTCCCCTCCCCTCCTTCCCTGAGATGGTAAGCAATTTAATATGTGATCTCCTCTTTTTTCAGAGGGGCTGGCCTCATGTCACAGAATCTTAATATTCTAAGAATTTCCCCTCTCGGCTCAGGGAATTGATGAATTTTCTCTGACTCTCAGAGTTGGGGGGAGGGGCGTTAGGACTGAATAGCTTCTCCTCCCATCCTGTGCAGGAATATGTGTCTGCTCATAGCAACAGTTCATAATAAAAGTATCATAAATAAGTGCAATTATATATAATTATAAAATTATAAGCTATATATTATGTTATATACTATGTTATATAGAAATATATAATTACACACAAAAGAACAATTAATAAAAGTTAGTTAATAAAATAATAAAAGCTCCCCTTCTGGCTCTCTAGACTTCACCCCAGCTTCCTTCTCATTCTGGAACATCCCTCCACTCCTCAAACCCCTGCTCCACTGGTGAATTCCCCCCTGGGCTTCCATTCCGGGGAGAAGCCCCTGCCAGGCCGGCCACCCTTTTCCCACCTGCTAGCTCTGGCCTGGCCTCTTTGCTGCTTTCAGCCTGGGGCTGTCCCTTCCCCTACCCCTTACATTTCTGCTCCCTTTCGTGTTTTTGTCTCCCCCCCATTAGAATGTAAGCTTCCAGAGGACAGGCACTCTCTCTCTTTGCATAGATCTGTATCCCCTGCATTCAACACAGTGCTTGGCACAAAGTATGCCCTTAGTAAATGCTTGTTGCCTTGCCTTTTCCCATTTTGCAGATGGGGAAATTGAGGCCCAGAGAGGTTAAGTGACTTGCCTGGTATTACACACCTAGTGTCTGAGTTTGGATTTGAACCTGGGTCATCCTGACCTTCACGTCCTACCCACAGTACTACGCTGCCTCTCTCCAAAGATGGATTCATAAGCCCAACTCCACCACCACCACCACCACTACGAGTTTTATGACTTTGAACAAGTCACTTCCATCGGAGCCTCAGTTTCCTCCCCCTGACATTTTATGAGCTATGCTTCTGAGGGTCAGTCAGGACTCAGACTCACGTCTCCCGCCCCCTGACCTGTTCTCTCTACTATTCCATGCTGTCTCTGGCATAGAAGAATAGCTACTGCTTCTCCTTGGTTTTTTTCTTTTTAACCCAGACTTGTGATTTCATCCCTGCTGGAACCAGTGAGGAATCAGAGAATGGGGGCCCTGAGAGGTCAAGTGAATAGTCCAACCTCACACAGCCAGGGTGGGACAGGGGCGGGATTTGAATCTATGTATTTGAATCCTCCCACCCCCAAAGTCAGCCTTTTCTCCCTTGTCACCTTAAGGAGCCACTGAATGAATAGTTGTTTGTGGAATCAAACGGAGCTCCTCCCTGCGAGGGCCAGCTGGGGACGGCCCTGCCGTGTGGCTCTGCTCCCAGCCCCTGGACACCTGTCCACCTGGGCCTCCGGGATGACCCTGACCCATCCTCTGCTGGTCCCTCCTCACCTTCTTGTGTACAAGCTTTCGCCGACAAGGCTTTCTCTCGGCCAGACCGATAGATGGCAGCCACGGTGACCAGGTAGGTGGTGTTGGGAGACAGATTTTCCAGCGTGGTGCTGTTCTTGGTGGCAGGCACCTGGAGGAGCTGGGCCTCACCCCCAGGCAGGGGTCCGTACAGGACCTCGTACCGGAGCACGCCCACAGGTGTCGGGGCCCAGCTCACGTGAAAGCTGTGAGGCTTTGAGTGCGAGATGAGGATCCAGGCTGGGCTGACCTCTTCTGGAGGGCACAAGGGGTCTGTGTATGTGGGGAAGCCTGAAGCCTCAGACCCTCCCCTTCCCAACCTGGGATTCCCTTCCAGCCCTCCCTTCATTCTATCTGAGGGAAGAATTCCTTTTCCTGACCCCTAATTCTGGGGGTCTCCACACTCCCCCTCTCTCTATTCTTCCTTGGGTAGGGCTGTTCTCTCTGCCTTACCAGACCCTTTCTCCTTCCTACATCCTCTGGGACATGGGACATCCACTTCTATGACCCCCAGCTCTTCTTCTTCTTCTTCCTCCCTTCATTATCCCCAGGATTCTCACCTTCCAGAGTGGTGACTTGGGTGGTCTGTGGGGCCAGGTACTGCAGGTTGGACTCAGGCACCAAGACCACCTTGTACGTGGTACTGGGTTCTAGGCCATCCCAGAACCAGCCGGTCTCGTTCCCAAGCAAGTGACGGCTCTGCTTGGCGCCAGGGTCGGCACTGGGTGCCACCTCCAACAGGTAGTAGCCCGAGTCACCGGACAGCAGGGGCGGCCATGCCAGGCGGAAGCTATGGGATGTGACCTCAGTGGCGTGAAGCTCCTGGGGCCGCATTGCCTCTGGCCATAGCAAGAGAGGAGAGAGAAAAAGAGAGAGAAGAGAGAAATGGAGAGTAGGGCAACATTGCCTCCAGGAAGCCTTCACCCATGGGCCAGGTCTCTTTGTCTGACTCTGGCCACTCCCTTCTTCCTAAGCCCCTCCTACTCCCCAAACCCCTTCGTTTCCTGTGCTCTAGCCCCCAGATTCTTCTCTCTTCCCCTCTCGCCCCCACAGGGGGCTCAGTAACTAAAGACTTCATCCTTTCCATCTGCCATCCCTTGACGAGCCTGGCGGGGAGGGCCAACAAGTTGGATTTGGCTCGTCCAGATTTACACCAGCAGCTACAGAAAGAGCTAATATCGTTTGCAAAACCCACGAGCTTTTGTGCAGGCAGCTTTACCTTGCCCTTCCCTCTGTCCAGTTCACTCAATAGGGGCTTAGAGATCCCTCTTCCCACTAAGGCCCCTGCCCTGGGGTCCAAGTGCATATGACTCTGGAGCCAAATTCTCCTCTTCCTGAGGGCTATTTCTTCACCTGTACAATGGAGATCGTGATAAGGATGCTGCCATAGCCAGCTCCCACCTTACCCCTCCAAACCTGGAGCTGGCAGGGAGCCTGGTTCAATCTCTCCATTTTACAGAGGAGGAAACTGACCCCTAAGAGCTTACCTGCCAGGCCCAAGCGTCAGAGATGGGACTTGAACCCAGGTCCCGTGACTTTGGAGCCTGTGCTCCTTCCGCTGCACCATGATGCCTCCCCAGGGAGCTGAGCTAGACTGGACCTATGACTCACCCCAGCTCCAGCCTGGCAACAGTCCTGCTGCTTGGTCTGGCTGGGGCCCAAGAATCTCTGGCTGGGGCCCTTGGTGGGCAGAAGATCCAGGCAGGACTTGGTAGCCTGGAGCTGGGACATATTCCTCCTCCCTCGCCTAGGGAATGAGAGACTCAGGTTCCCAGCTCCCTCGGCCCCGGCCGGATGCCTGGTGGAGGGCCTTGGGTTTTACCATGGAGGCAGTGGGGAGCTATGGAAGGTCTGGGGGCAGAGGGCTGTTTGGTACATTAAGAAAATGAGTCTTACAGGACAGCTTGAAGGGCCAGTTAGAGCTGATGCAATAGTTCAGGGGAGAGGCATTGCATGGGTCAGATGGAGCCTCTGCCACAGCCCCCCCACCCCACCCCAAGGCCCCACCACCCTGCAGATGGAGGCTTTGACCACCGCCTCCTGAAAGAGCAGAAGGAACCCTTGTCCTCAGCCCTGCCATACTGTTTCTTCTGGCCCCGAAGCCTTGGGATCCTCCCTGGGATGGATTCTTAAGGAGCAGCCCTCTCTGGCCTCTCCAGCACATGACCCACCTCCTTTCCCCACCGCTTGGAGGCCAATGATTAACCCAGAGAGGGACACAAGAATCCTCTGGTTTCTGGCATGTTCCTGCAGCCACAGCTGGCCTGGCCTGGGGTTGGGCCAGATGCCGCTGGCTCGAGGAATGCCAGGGCCCCAGCCCACCTGCTGAGCAGCTCCTCTCCCCATCCCCAGCCCCTCCCTCGGGGTGGGGGGGAAGGGGGAGAGGAAGATACAGAAGCCAGCTCCCTAAGTCTTCCCCTCATCACCTCCTCCTGAGCTATTGCATCAGCCCTAACCTCTCCTCCAAACCATCTCACGAGAATAATCTTCCTCTTCTCCAAAGACTCAGAGCAGGGCAAGCCCCTGCCCCTAAACTTTCCATAGCTCCCCACTGCCCACGTAATAAAACCCAAGGTCCTCCACCTGGCATTCAAGGCCCTCCCACTACGTCCCAATGCCTATTCCACCTCCCTACCTTACCCAGAGCCCCTACTGCAAAAAGTCAATTTCAGCCAGGCCGCCTTGTCATGACCCTCCCCAGCCTCTGGCCCTTGCTAGACCTGGGTCTTCTCCTCCCTGCTCTCCTGATCCTTCAAGGTGCAATTCAATGTTGTCCACCTCCTCCATGAAGGCTACCCTGCCTTCCCCTGCCCACGTTTCTCTCCTCTGAGCTCAGAGGTGAATCATTAGTGAGTCTTGTGACTCCAACCAAACTAAACTCCCAAGAGCAGGGTCTGACATGTCTCCTTTCTCCCTCCCCCTGCCCCCACGTCCAGAATAGTCTAGCATTCGGTCTGTTTGCTCATCTGTCAAATAAAGAGGCTGAAGTCAATGGGTGCTGAGGGCCCTTTCATTTCTGGAACAATAAACTTAGGATACTGTAATCCTACAACTTAGGTCCCTTCCGGCTCTAAACCCTTTCCTTCTGCCAGAACCCTTATTCTCAGATGAAATAACCTATATAAAGTGCTTTCAGATCTTCAAGTTAAGCACTACGTAAAAAGAATCATTGTTCTTGAAAATCTCCCTTCGAAGGTACATCTGGTTCCTCCTGAGCTCAACAACCTTCAATGACTCCCTCTTGCCTGCTGAGTAAAGTTCCAAGTCCTGGAGACCCTGCCTAAGTGGTCTCCCCCTTTCTGGTGTTATGTCACATCATTGCCTTCACACACCGCATGCCTCAGCCCAGGTGGCTTAGCTGCCCTCCCCCACCCCCAGATCTGTGCTGCGTTCTTCCGCAGCTGTGTCTGCACACTCTGGTCCCTGAGCTTGGAATGCCATCCCTCTCCCTGTTCCCCTGCTAGATTCCTACCCTTCCTCTAAAGCCCAGCCTGAAGGGTACCTCCCCCAGGAAGCTTTCCCTGATTCCCTGTCATCAACAACCTTTTTCTAAGGGCACCTCATTCAGTGCTCTGTCTAAAGCGCTAACCACAAAAGTCATGTCTGCTACTATTGTCTTTGCTCGTCTGGTAAGCCCCTCAGCCCTGCCTCTGAGGGTAGGGACCATAATCTGATCTAAATGTCCTGCTCTCCTGCAAAAATATAACCTGCCCCCCACACACCCACACCCACCCACCCACACACACACACTCCCCCTCACATATATGCACACACATATGCACACCACGCACACGTGCGTACACATTTGCATTCACACCCATATATACACCCACACAAATGTACACACCCTAACGCTGTGCTCAACACATACTTCAAAGGTTGGTGATTTCACCATTTGGGGCACTCCCACTTACTAGCTGTGTGACCCTGAGCAAGTCACTTAACCCCAATTGCCTAAAAAAAATATTTTTTTAAATATTTAAAGGGGCACTCCCTTTGCCAATCTAGATGACAGAGGACCTACTCCAGGCCACTAGGCAAAAGAGCTTCTAGAATTGCTGTGATCCCCAGATTTATCAATCAGTGACCAACCTCAGCATTTATTACGAGTGCCTACGGCCCTCCAGGCACTATACTGGACACCAGAGATACAAAAGCAAAACTAAAACAGTCCCTGCCCTCAAAGGGCTTGCATTCTGTCAAGGAGCAATTACACTCACACAGGTTAGTATATACAAAATCAATACAAGGTGATAGAGGAGGGGGCACTGCCAGTTGGGTGGGATCAGGAAATATCTCATGGAGGAGAAAGGGTGCATGAACTAAGCTTTGAAGGAAATCAAGGATTCTAAGATGCAGAAGTAAGGAGTGAGTGCATGCCAGGCATGAGGAACAGCCTGGACAAAGGTGTGGAGATGGGAGATGACAGATGGCATGTCATTTTGGGAGAACTATCAAGCTCAGTTTGGTTAAAGAGTAGAGTATATGAAGGGGATTAATGTATAATAAGGCTGGAAAGGTAGGTTGGGGCCAGGTAGTGAAGGGCCTTGAATGCCAAAGAGAAAAGTTTGTTACTTGGTCCTAGAGGAAATAAGGAGCCATGAGAGTTTATTGAGCTGGGGAGGGACATGATTAAGCCTGAGATTTCAGAATGACACTTTGGTGGCTAGGAGGAGAAGGGAGAGGCTTGAGGCAGAGAGATGACCAGGCCGCTACTCTAATAGGTGAAAGGTAGACAAGGGTGAGGATAGCGTTGGGGTGGGGACAGGGGGAGAAGAGGATAGACGAGCAGTTTGCTACGAGGACGCCAGGATCACCACATGCACCGTCCCCCGGGGTGTATGCTTGGCTCCTCCTCAGCATCGAAGGCCCCCCCTTGGCCCCACAGTGAGGCAGGGGAGGGCAGCATGGTAGTGGCTTCCTAATGGGTGACCCTCTCTCACCTCCCCAATCCTTCCTCCGTACATCTGCCAAAGTAACCTTCAGAAAGCCCAGCAGTCATAACATTCCCCTGCTCCCAAACCTTCAGGATACACTCCAAAGGGGAGTTCAATGCCCCCACTATCTGAGTCCAGCCTGCCTTTGCAGACTTACTCCACACCACTCCTTTCCACACATGCGACATTCTGGCTGAACTGGCCTAGTAGTATCCCATCTCCCACCTCCACACCTTTGCCCGGTTATTCCCTAGGCCTGGAATTCACTCTCTTCCTCATCTCTGCTTCTTAGAATTTCATCTTCCCTTAACCTACATTTTACTCGGCACCATTTACTCAAAGCCTGTTGATTCCCCACCCCACTGGGAAGAGTCCAAAGAACAGTATTCTTTTGGACTCTCTGGTCCTCAGTTTCCTCATCTGTAAAATGAAGGAACTGACCCAGAAAACTTCTAAAGTTCTCAATCTGTGATCCTGTAATTGATCTCAAATTACTTTGTATTTATTTAATCATCTGTATACTGATAGTATCCCACTGTGTCCCCAGCAGAAATTAAGCTTCATGAGGGCAAGAATTGTTCATTTTTGTCTTTCTAGCTCTAGCATCTTGAAAATAGTAGGTGGAGGGGCAGCTAGGTGGCATAGTAGATAGAGCACTAGCCCTGAAGTTAGGAGGACCTGAGTTCAAATCCAACCTCAGACCAAACACTTGACACTTACTAGCTGTGTGACCCTGGGCAAGTCACTTAACCCCAATTGCCTAAAATAAAAAAAAGTTAAATAAAATAGTAGGCAGGGTAGCTAGGTGGTAGAGTGCATAGAGCACGGGAAGGACCTGAGTTCAAATCCAGCCTCAGACAACCCTGTTTGCCTCAAAATTAATAGAAATAAAAATTTTAAAAATAAGAAAGTGGTGGGCACTTAAAAATGTTTGTGTGAATAAAGCAAGGATGTTTCCCCAGTCCCTTCAGGAAGTTCTGCCTGAAGTCTAACCTCAGACCCTCACGCTCTCTGCCTATGGCACAGTTCCCTGGGACCAGCAGCCTACCGAGGATGGAGCCCCGCAGCTCAGGGATGATAATTTGCAAGTCATCCACATCCACGAAGCGCAAGTGCTTCTCGGGGGGTTGGGAGGCAGCTGCAGAGAGGTCCAGGAAGTTGCCTCGGCCAGTGCTGATGATGAAGACGGTCACCCCCAGGTCCTTGAGCGCCTGCATGGGGGCCTGCGCATCGTCGCTCGAGCCGCCATCGGTCACCCACACCAGCACCTTGCGCACGCCGGGCCGAGCGCCGGCCTTGGTGGTGAACAGCTGCTCCTTGGCCAGGTCCAGGGCCAGCCCAGTGTTGGTATCCCCCATCAGCTGCTTGGCTGCCCGGATGGCCTCCTGGGCAGCAGCCCCTGAGCGGTGTTGGTCGAAGGAGAACTCGACTGTTGGTTTACTGCCCACATGCACCATGCTGGTCTGCACGGCCCCCGGGCCCAAGGGCAGTGGCTGGACCAGCTGCCCCACAAACTCCTTCACCCGAGAGAATTCGTAGTAGGAGACGCTGGCTGAGCTGTCCAACAAGAAGAGGAGGTCACCATGGGCAGCCGGGCTGTGTGTGGCAGGGCCTGACAGGAAAAGGGGGACAGAGAGGGGGTCAGCAATGGAGCGGCAGCACTAATACTCATGGCTAGCACGTAGACAGCATCTTAGGATTTGCAAAGCTTTACGGACACACGCTATCTTATTAGATTCTCACAACGACCTTGCGAAATGGGGTTAGAGGGGAGGCAAAGAGAGAGGGAGGGAGATAAAGAGGGAGGAGGAGAGGAAGTGAGGGAGGGGAGGGGGGAAGAGACCAGGAAGAAGAGAGAAAGGGGGAGGGAAGAGAGGGAAAGGAGAAAGGAGAGGAAGGGAGACAGAGAAAGGGGGAGGAGGGAAGAGAGAAAGTAGAGGAAGAGAGAAGGAATAGGAGAGGGAGAGGGGAGAGAAGGAGGGAATGGGAAAGAGAGGGGAAAGAGAAGGAGGGAGTGGGGGGAGAGAAGGAATTGGGAGGAAGAGGAAAGGGAACAGGAGAAAGAGGAAATGTGAGGGGGGAACGAAGGGAGAGTGGGAGCAATTGAGAAAGGAAAGAGAAAGGCAATGGAAAAGGAGAAAGAAAGAGAGAGGGGCAGGGGAGAAAAGAAAGAAGGAGTGAGGGGATGGAGAGAGAATGGGGGGGGGAGAGAAAGAAGCTGAAGAGGAAACGGTAAGATAGAGGAGGTGGGAGAAGGGGAAGGTGGAGCCCTCCCAGGTGACAGACAGCCTGCTGAGATCTTTTGAGGGCTACAGGGCCCTGGTGTCCCTGGGTAACTGCATTCTGTTGTCCTATGTATGATTATAAGAAGTCTGCGGGTTGGCCCATGCTAGAAGCTGCCCCAGCCTTAGGGACAGAAAGGTTTGGCTGAGATGACCACGTGTCCTGAGCTGCCTCGAATACTAGTGAGTACCCCATACCCAGCCCCATCTTTCCTTCCCCCCGGGTTCATCCCTTCTTCAAAGCCAGGGACTGTGCCTTGCTTCCCAGCTCAGATGGGCCGCCGTGCTGGGGTTCTTCCTGAGGGGAGGCAGCCACAGGGGCCCCGAGCCCCCACAGGAACCTCGGCTGTGCTCAGCCAGCTCTACACGGCACAAATCTGGGGGGAGCCTGAATAACCTTTTCCTCTGCTTTGCTTCACTAGCCCCAGACCTTCCTTCTTCAAGGCACTGAGGACTTGGAAGCACTTCAAAGAAGACCCTAGCCCCCTCCTCAGCATTCTGCTCCATTCCCTCATGGTGCAGTCCATGGCCAGAGAAGGCTGTGATTTCTAAAGGGGCCCTTCGCTAGGGTTTGGGCAGGACAGGGTCAGCCTTTCACCTCTCCGGTGGGGCATCCCCCTCTCGACTCCTTTTCTTTCCCCTAAGAAAAGCTGCATTGAAGTAAGTGCCGGGCTCCCAGGGCCCAGAGGACAATCACTCTTTCTCCTAAAGCTCTAGCCGAGGCTGAGGTTCGAATGCCAGGCAGGCATCGGCAAGAAGGGAACTCCCCACGGGCCTGATCACAGAGAATCAGCTTGACCCAAGCCAGCTACGCAAAATGGGGGTGGGGGAAGCGTTGAAGGACCTGCCCAAAATGCCTAATATCTGAGGGCTCACTCCCATGGACAGAAGGTCCAGACGGGCTCAGATAACCTTCAGATGTGGTCTCCTGAAACCTCCCAACTCCCATTGCAGTGGTAATGGGATGAGAAACGGGGGAAGGACCCCAAAACTCTGAGAAGAGATATTATTGGCAAATTCTGGAACACCACATTATCCTATTCTTTGATGTCAGTGACTCCCCAAAACTGGGTTTGCTTCCCTCCAAATGAACATTTCAGACGGCTGAAATTCAGGATCCCTGGGTTTTAATTCAGGCTTTGTGATCTCAGCCTGACATCTGCTCCTCACTGGGCTTCAGATTCCCACTGCTCAATGGGGAGATGGGGCAGCTAGGTGGGGAAGTGGTTAGAGCACCAGGCCTAGAGTCAGGAAGACTTAAGTTTAAAACCTGCCCCAAACACTCACTAGCTGTGTGACTCTGGACAAGTTACTTTGCCCTCTTTGTCTCAGTTTCCTCATCTGTGAAAATGAGCTGGAGAAGGAAATGGCAAACCACTCCAGGATCTTGGCCAAGAAAGTCCCAAATGGGGTCACAAAGAGTTGGACGTGGCTAAAATGACGAAACAACAACAAATACGGAGAGCTCTCTGCAATCACAGGCAGCCTAGCAGAGACAATGCAGGCAGAGACAATGATCGAACTGGAATAGGAGGACCTGGGTTCAGATCCCGTCTCTGCTACTTGCTACCTGAATGATCTTTGAGCAAATCATATCTCTCTGGGCCTCAGTTTCCCCAACTGTAAAGTGACAGGATTGTATCACATGACCCAGAAGGTCCTTTCCAGCTCTAAATCAGTTATACACACATCCAGGATCCTTCAAGCAGACCCTGCTACTGGATGTGTGCCCATTCCACAAATGGCACAAGGTAGAATAGTTCTCTTCTAAGACCCCTAGCCTGTTCCCCTTTAGCAGCGCCCCCAGCTCCCCCTCCAGGACCACAAGTCTAGCATAGACACACATGTATTCTTGCTTCGGCCTGGGCCCAGGGGTGCAGGTGGCTCAGGGTGTGGGAGGGGACCGTCCAAACAGCCTTCCCCACAGCCCCTCCCAGGCTCCTTTCTCTGCCCTGAGGGCCTCTCAGCACCAGATTGTGAAAAACCAGACAGTGAAATAGAGAGCTCCGGAGAGAGAAAAAGAAACAGAGAAACAGAGACTCAGAGAGACACTGCCAGAAGATGATGAGACCCAAATTGACAAAGTTAGAGCCTAGACAGGTCAGGAAGGGAGGGATAAGAGCACCGGCGGGAGTTTCCAAGACTCAAGGGAGAGGGAGAAAGCCAGGCGGTTTCTCTGGGAGAGATGACAGGACACCCTCTGTTCGGGTCAGAGGGTGGGTGACCCAGAGCTAGGCTGCGGAACCCCTATTGGTTTGTAATTTCCCGTGACTGTCCCTTCCTGAGCCAGAAGGCAGCAGGGAGAGAGGACCTGGAAGGAAAGTGGGGCCCACAGCTGGCCTGGAATGAAGGAATATTACATCTGGAAACCTCTCTCGGGATGGGAGAGAGTGTCTAACCGTCCAATCCGGAGTCTGAGAGAGGCCATTCTGGTGACGGAGGCCAGGGAGACCCAGGTGAATTGACCCCCGGTTGATATCCCAGCGATACCCAATGCGCCCACAGCCCAACAGATCCAGTCTCAGGGGGCAGGAAGTAGTCCCGCTGTAGTAAGGAGACCGAGGAAGGAGGAGCAGGAGAAGGGGCTTTCCCGCGCCCCGTCCACACCCCCCCAGCTGCCCTCACTCGGAATGGCGCACACCCCGAGCCTCTTCCATCAGGCTGCCCCCACCCCATCCCACCCTACCCCACCACCCCAGTCCCAGGCGCACATAGTCACCTGGCTCAGGTATGCTCTGTCCCAAAGCCAGACGCAGGCAGAGGAGGCCCAGGGCCGCCCAGACAATCATAGCGGCCGCCGCCGCCTGAAGTCTCTACCCCGAATCTCCGCGGGCTCGAGACTTGAGCCGGGGACCAGAGGGGCGGGGGCCGCGCATAGCAGGGCCCCCCAGCCCTTGCCCTGCCCTCCACGCGCTGGCGCTGCTGCTGCCGCTGCCGCTGCTGCTGCTTCTGGGACTGGGTCCTGGGCAGCCGGAGTCCCTGATCCTCTTCCTCCCCCTTCTCCTCTTTGCCTTGCTGCTCTCCTCTCCTCTCCTCTCCCCACTCCCGCCGCCTCCTCGCCTCCTTGGCCCAGTTTCCCAGCTTGGAGGTGGCGGTGGGAGGTGGAGGGGGAAGGGGGCGGGGCAGCAGCCACTTTAGGAGACAAGGCTCACGACCCGCCCCTCCTCTCTCCCTCTCCTGTCCCGCCCGGCCCCGCCCAGCTGTGCTTCCTCTGCCCACGAGCCGACAGACAGACGCACACTGACATATCCACCAGATGCACTCAGCCAAGCGTGCCCATCACCTCTCTCCGAGGTGTGGGTGCGGTTTGGGAGGCACAGCCCCTCCCCCGCCCAAGAGATCTCCTCGTGGATCCCGCCCCCTCCCCACGGGCCCCCTTTGGCTCTGAGAGACTTTGGGCCAGCCAAAAACAGGAGCTTGGAGCGGGAAATACCCTGGAAAGGGCTGGCTGCAGGCTCGGTCATCGGACCACGTGCTCCTTTCCTCCCCCGGGGCTGCTAAAATCCTGGGCCTGGACACTGCGCGTTCTCGCCTGGGCTCCTGCTCCTTCCTTGAAGCTGTGTGGAGAGTGAGGGGCCATTCCGTGGCAGACATCCCATCCATCCATCCATCCATCCATGCATCCATCCATCCATCCATCCATCCATCCATCCATCCTTCCCTCCCCTCCGGGCCCTAGGGAAGCTTCCCTTTGACCCTCTGCTCCAGGGATTCAGAGTTGGAGATTCCCGAGAGAGGAGGAGGGCTGGGAAGGGCAGGGCTCCCGACTGGAAAGACTGATCCCTAGGGGAATTCTCCAAGTCTGGGAGCCCTTACAAGCAAAGGTCTCTGGAGGAGTTGGAGCAGCGTGGGAGTCCGTAGTTGGGGGCTCCCTTACTCTGCTCCCAGGGCTGGAAATAGTTCATTTCATCTTTTAATTTTTTTTACTTTTTTTTTTGTAACATCACCTTCACTTCCCAATATATCCCTTCTCTCTTCCACCACCCAGAGAGTCATCCCTTGTAACAATTAAAAAAGGGGGGGGGGGAGTTCAACATTAGTCAACACATCAACATGGAACTGTGTTCCAGACCCATAGCTCCCCATCTCTGTAAAGAAGGGTGAGAGATGCATTGTTCTAATGGTTCATTTCTATAATAATTTCTATTTCTATGGCATTATAGCCCTTCGAGGTGGGCAGTTGTAAGTATTATTAACCCCATTTTACAGGAGAGGAAGCTGAGGCTCAGATACAGAAAGTGGTTGTCCATGGGGCAGGATTCTAACCCAGATCTCCCTACCTCCAGTCCAACCTGCTTGCCAGGCGCTTCCAGTATCTCTTTTCAGCCTGCCTTCCAACAGCAGCTTTGTGCAGGGGGGCAGCGTGTTTGGGGTTTTTTCTGGGTGTGGGGGACAGGGTTTACCTTTTATTTTGTATCCTCAGCCATGAAGGCCTGGCACATAGTAGGTGCTTAATAAATGTTGATTGATTGATTGAAAGCTTTACTAGCAGAGTATAAGCTCTGGGCAATGCTGCCAAGCCCGAATGACTTTTAGTACAATTCTGTCTACTGGTCATTTCTCTGAGACCTTCCCTTTCAGATGCTGGTGCACCCCTCAAAAAATTTAACTAGTATTTACTTTGTGTGTATGCATGTATATGTATATACATATACACATGTGTATATATGTTTTAAATAAATTTTCTAGAGCAAAATCTCACATTATACACCAAGAAAAGCCCCAAATGGATAGATACATGACCTAGATATAAAGTCAAATCATAAACAAATTAGAGGAGCAAGACGTAACTTAACTTTCAGATCTGTGGAGGTGGGAAGAGTTCACGACTAAACAAAGAATCACATAGGATAGAATGGACAATTTTGACTGCATAAAACTTAAAAATTTTTGCACAAACAAATTTGATGCAGTTAAAATTAGAAGGCAAACAGGTAAATGTAAAAAATCTTTGCAGCAAACTTCTCTGATAAAGGTTTCATATTCAAGATACAGAAAGACCTAATTCAAAATGAGACTGAGTTATTTCCCTAAGAGATATATGGTCAAAGGAAATGAACAAAGAGTTCTCAAAGAAAGAAATTCAAGTTATCAAAGATCACATGAAAACCGCTCTGAATCATGAATAGTTAGAGAAATGCAAATTAAAGCAACTCTGAGGTCCATCTCACATCCCCCAGATTGTCAAAGGTGACAAGAGAGGAAAATGACAGATGATGACGGGGCTGTGGGGCAACAGGTACAACGATGCTGTGAATTGGCCCAGTCATTCTGGAAAGAAGCTTGGAACCATGCCCAGAAAGTTAACAAACTGTTCATACCCTTTGAACCCAATATCCCATTAGGAGGCTAGACATCAAAGAAATCAAGGAAAGAGGAAAGGAATCTATATGTACAAAAATATTTATAGCAGCTTTTTTTTGTGGTTGCCCCAAACTGGAAATGAAGGGGTTGTCCTATCGGGCAGTGACTTGACAGATTTGGGGTAATGTGAATATAATGGAATATTATTGTTCCATGAGAAATGACAAAATGAACACTTTCAGAGGAATGGGAGCACCTCTATGAACTGGTGCAGAGTGAAATGAGCAGAACTAGAATAATTTGTACTGGGATAATGATATTCTAGAGAAAAAATTCATGAAAGACTCTAGAACTCAGATAAAATACTGCCAGGTCATTGATCCTCTCTGAAAACAAAAGACCAAAGAAAATTTTCTAAAAGCAAGTGGAAGACCAAAGCAGCTGGAAGTGGAAGTGTGGAGTCACTGGACACACACTCAGAGACACCCACAAATGTCAAGAAATGGAAAGAATGAGAGACCCCCTACTCAGGAAGTTTCCATGGCAGCTTCCGGACTCTAAAATCGAACTCTTCTTTTTGGCACTTAAAGCCCTTCACATTCTGGCTTCCACCAATCTTTCCAAGCTTGTTACATATTACTCTCTTTCACAAACTGGACGACCTAGCCGAAATGGTCTCTGCTCTTCCTCACCCTTGGCATTCCGGGTCTGACTCTGTGCCCTTGTCCAGGCTGGGCCCCCTGCCTGGAATGCCCTCCATCCTCACTGATGCCCCTTAGCATCCTTCTTAGACTCCCTTAGGATTTTCTTCAGAGCTGAGCTCAAGCACTGCCACACTGGCCAGGTCTTTCCTGATTCCCCCAGCCACTAGTGCCCTCCCCCACCTCCAGTACTTTGAATTCACCGTATTTTCTATCTCCTTCAGTGTGCTTCCCATAACGGGAATAAGCTCCCGGAGGCCAGGGACTTTTTCATTTTTTTTTCCTTTGTGATCCCAGTGCACATCAGTGTCAAACTCCTAAGAGACACTTAGTGCTTTAGAGACATTGTGGCACCTTGAAAAGACCATTCACTGGCTTTGAAGTCAGAGGACCTGCGTTTACATCCGGCTTTTGTTACATACACCCTTTGTGACCTTGAGCAAATTATTTTTACCACTCGGTCTCAGTTTCCTCATCTTTAAAATGGGGGGAGAGGGGAGGTGCACCCCGTGGCCCCCGAGGCCTTCCAGCTTGAAATCTACGGTCCTAGGATTGATTGATTAATTGATTGACTGGGAGCAGGGGAGGTGAGAGGTAGAGATGGGGATGGGGGTCCGCTAAGTCTCGGCTTCTGCAATCCTGTCCCCACGGGACACCTAGGAGGCGGCAGGCAGAAGCCCCGATCGGCCCTCCCCTACTTCCCAAGGGAGATCGTACAGTAGGACAATGCAGGGAGGGAGGCGTACGGGGAAGCCTGGGAAGACGGTTCAGGCTTGGGGTTGGGGGTTGGGGGTGGGGAGGGAACGCTGCTCCAGGGCTTTTCCTTCCTTCTCTTCCTGGCAGGTAAGAGCGGATGGAGATGGGGGAGGGAAGAGAGAGTCTGACTTTGCCTAAAAAGGGAAATCTCCCACTAGGGAGCCCAAGAACGTCGGCCAGAGCAGCTAAAGCCAGGAACTGGAGGGACTCCGTGCCGGGAATCCTGGCGGCTCCCGTGTTCCCAGGGGGCTTGGCTGGGCTGCAAGGCTGAGGAGCTTGGTTCCCCCTCCCCGGCCCCCTCCCCACTCCTCCCTCCGCCCCAGGTGCTTCCTGTCTGTGCCACATCCACCCCAAGTGGAGGGGAAGGAGCAGGGGGGTCGGAGCCAGGACCAAGGTCATGGCCAGAGGCTGCCTCTTTAGCAGCAATAAAGACCCCAGTAAAACCTACATCTCGACTCTCCCTCTCTTCTTAGCTCAACCACCCAGGAGAGGGATGGCAAGGGCAGGGCTGGGGCGGGGAGAATGGGGGACATGCCTAGGGTCAAGTTGGGGAGAGACACCCAGAGGCTGGCTTAAAATGAATTAAGGGCAAGGACTTTCCCTAGACACTTTGCTGGCCCCCTCCAGCCCGACTTGTCTCAGCTCCCAAAATCTGACTTGTCAGTCTGAGGCTACCGAAGTTAGGCAAGGATTGGGAACGGGGTTCCAGAAACCTACCCTGGCAGGACAGAATGGGCACATGGGCCCCTAGGGAGCAGTAGGAACCTTCAGGGGGTGGGAAGGGGCTGTGTATCTGCCCACTCCCCAAGAACCCCTAAACTCCCAAACTCTCCTGGCTTCCAAGGGTGAGCTGACAACCATCCTGAAGGAGGGAACTAAGATGAGGAACCTCCAGATCATACCATGTTTGGATCAGCTGAAGGAACTAGGGAAGTTCCCTTGGAGAAAAAACGTCTATTGGAAACATGATAGCCTGGTTCAAGTATTTGAAGGGCTGTCTGCCAGGTAGAAGAATTTGGCAGAATCTTCCTAGTTCTGCTACTTACTACCATGGATAAGACATTTTGCCATCTTTTGCCTCAGTTTCCCAACTTGTAAAATGTAGTGGTTGAACTAGTTGACCTCT